CGCTCGCCTGCCCCCAGAGGGTTGCTGAGAAACAGCCACTGCCCAACTGACCCATGGAGGCTGGCTATGTGGTTGCCCCTTTTGGAGTGGGCGGAGTATTCCGAAGAGGAAACAGAAAAAGTACCTGTCCTCTTATTGAAAAAGATGGCAGAAGCTCCTGGGTGGTTAAGTCAGTGACAGTGAGAGATTTAAGTCAATGTTCTCTACAGTATAGCTGTGTGGGAAGCTGCTTACTTGAGAAAGTTCAGGCTCTGCAAGGGAGGCTGAGGCAGAGAACCCCCAGCAGCAGGGCAGCCTTTCCTAGAAAAAGAGGGAAGGGCTTGGTTTCCCTGCATCCCTGGACTGAGGTGGCAGATGCTGGGGCAGGGGGCGAGGGGGAAGGTAACCACAGCAGCATCTTCAACCCAACCCAAGGCCCAGCTGCTGTGGGTGGCAGGGCGCCAGAGGCAGGCGGGGCACGCAGTCCCTGCTTTGCACTGCTGCACTCTCTGTACCTCTGTAGTCCTTTCCTCTCTGGCCTCAGTGTTCCCATCTGCAAATAGTGCAGAGGCCACCTCCTCTCCAAGCTTTGCTCCAATGCCTTGGGCCTTGAGCAGACCAAGGTAGGAATTCTGGCTCCAGTCCCCTTTCCTCTTGAACCTCAACTTCTCCATCTGTGAAACGAAAAGCCCCTCTACAGTAAGGGTCTTTGAAGAGTGGATAGAAAACCGATTGCAGACAGCTCAGCACACAGTAAGTACTGGTAATTTTCAATCAGGGGAGTAAAGGAACCTCTTCTAAAATCCACGGTGTGACTGCCACCAAGTTGAATCCGTCTGAATAGTGCCAAAGTTGGCCAGGTGATCTTGTCATTCTCAGGCCACGGCGGGCTCTGGCCTCAGGCCGGAACAGAGACAAGGAGACTTGCAGCTGGGCCAGGAGGGGGCCTTGATTATGGAGCCTCTGTATCAGAGCCGGTCTAATCGCCTGTAGCTGTAATAATCAAAGAGGAAGCACTTAAAATGGGGAATTATGTATCACCTTCTCTACAAAATAGCCCTGGGCCTGGCGCCAATGAAAACAGCTCTCTGTACAGGCCAGCAAGGCAGCGCCTGCTGGGACGCCTGTGGAGGGAGCTCGTTCCTAAGCGCCGGATCATGGGGTGGGCTGTTGGGGTGATGGAGAATTAGTGGGCCTCATCGAGTGTCGCCTGAGATCAGGCTGGGCTGGCCGAGGGACAGCAGAAGCAGAGCCAAGAATTTGGGCACATCACGGTCACTGTCACAACCAGTTTCATGACCTTGGGAGTGTCACTTGGCCCTCTGGGCCTTGCTGATTTCACCCTGAGTAGGACTGACCCCAAGGTCAGGTTGAACCCGATAATAATTATAGCAGTAATAACAACAGTAATACTAGCAGCTACTATTTAAGGAATACTTGCCACATGCCAAATACTGTTCTAAGCACTTTTTGTATGCCTCTCTCAACGCAGTCCTCACAACATCCCTATGAGGTGGGTACAATTATCCCTACTTTACAGATGAGGACACTGAGGACCAGAGAGACTGAAAAATTTGCTTGCGGTCACCCAGCCAAGAAGTGGCTGTCCACTTCTAGGTCAGGGCTCACGCTTTGATTCCTGCAGGGGCCCGGCTGTCACTAGAGGGCCTGGAGCAGCCGCGCAGGGAGTCAGAGCCTGAGAAGGGGATGGACTAAAGCAGTCCTGTGGGGCGAGTGTCCCAAGGAGAAGGGGCGCCAGCAAGCTGTGGGGAGTAGCTGGGGTTTTCTTCTAGGAGAGGTTGGAGGGTTGGGTGGGAGGGCGTCGTGGTCTGAGCGTCCTTTGGAAGTTGCCTTTACCTGCCATGCTGAGAATAGATGGGGGAGGGGGATAGGTGGGCAGAGTGTCAGCAGGCAGGCCTGTGAGGAGGCTGCTTCCCATGCTCTTTGAGGACTGTTGGGGCCCGGTGCTCAGTGGTTGCCATAGCGATGGAGAGAAGTGGGTGGATACCAAGAATCTGTGAGAGACTGAATCTACCATCTTGCTGTTGTGGGCTTCTATAGGTGCAGAGTTGGTCAGACACCCCAGAGGGGCTTGGAATGAGCCCCCAGAGAGGGAGTGGGGGTATCTGCACCTGGCTGTGGCCCCATCCAGGCAGGAGTGAGCATTGTGGGAGGCCATGGAAGATGGTTTGGCCTGAGAGAGCCAGAGGCAGGGCCTGTGATTACAGCAACCACAGGTGGGACAGGTGATGGTGAAGGAGGAACACATCTCTGGATGCTCCCTGGGAATGAGGATCGGGGAAGCCCCCACCACACCAGGTACTGACAGGCCCCAGCTCTGCCCCATTCAGGCCCTACCTCCATCTGGGCTTGGCTGTGGGGGTCGGAAAGATGGGGTTCTGAGTGTGGAGAGGGGGATGGAGGCCTCACTTTGTAGGAAATCAGCTTGAAACAGAGGAGGTCTCAGAAAACTTGTTGCTCCCCTGCTTCCCCCATATTTCTAGAGGGTTCTCTGAGTGCCAATGTGGCAAGTGGGTATGGGGGACCAGGGGACAGCACCAGGACCGTCAGGGTAGCCAAGGGGAAGCAGACCCCAGCTCCTAGTGGGGACAAGTTGTGCCAGTCTCAGCTGCCTATGTGAGCAGAAGCTGGCCACCTCCCTCTCATCTGGCTGACCTTGTGAAGTGCCTTCCAGCTCTGAGATCCAAGGAGAGCCCAATAGGGCGGAACCAACCTTCCTCAGAGGCTCAGGGGTCATTCCCTGAAAAACATCTTCACTAGGAGGGAGTTGAGTCCCACATCCTCCAATTATGCTCCCATCCAGCCAGCCCACAATGGATCAGTCAGATAACCATCGGGGGCTGCACAAATTAACACTGGAACAATGCTGGCTGCTCAGGCTATTTTTACAGTAGCCATACGCCTGGCCGAACCCCCACATCGCCCCAAGGGAGCAGGGCAAAGAAAGGCCATGCGGATGCCGCCACCAGTCTGCGCTCTGGGAGACAGAGGAAGGGCTCAGTGAGCCGCCCGGCGGCTCCAGGAAGCCTTTTCTTGGTCTGCTCACCACCAGATAGCAAAACAATTGGGGTCCCCCACCCTGAGCCAGGGAGAGGAAGGAGGCGTGGGGGAAACGGGGGTTCTGTTGTGCTTTTGTGCCTCTGCTCCTCCGGGCACGGCCCCTGTGGGCCTGGCTGCTGGGGCCAGGCCAACACATTCCTCTCTCCACACCCCAGGCCCTCGGGCAGCCCCTGCCTGGCGCTGCCTTGGACTGCCTTCTGGGCCAGGCAGCATGGAAAGCAAGGCTGAAGCCCAGTAACTCGCCAAGTCCCGTGGTTGGGAAGTGGCCAAGCTGGGGTTCACACCGAGCGCCGGCTGCTTGCAGGTGCCACTCTGGGAACCACCTACCCAACAGTTCTTGCTTGACGACCTACTGTGCACCAGGCTCTGGGCACATAGCAGTGGACAAGGGTAGGTCCTTGTCCCCATGGAAGCACAGCTCTAGTCGAGGAGGAGACAGTTGGCAAGGAAGCAAGGACATGAATCAAGACATTTTCAGGTAGCGCCAAGCAGTTTGACAAGACAGACTCCAATGCCTAGCGAAGGCGTGCTGTAAGCTCGGTAGTGAGCTGGCCCTGGGGGCCGGGAGCGGGGCGGCCCATGGGGCGGGACCGCATCTGGTCCTGCTGCTGGTTGCCAAAGGGAGTGTGACCTACCCGTGGTCCGACCTTCCCGTTTTTCAAGAGAACCTAGAAATCTCAAGTTTGCTCTGAAATCTGATATTTTCAGTGGTGGCCACCAGTTTGGATCATGAGGACAAGCTGTGTCCCAGGCTGCTTGGCTGTGAGTCAGTCACCTTTGCCATCGTTCCTTTTCATTCTGCAGGTGAAGAAGCAGGCTCAGAGAGGGCTGGGCGGGCACCTAGCTCCGGCCCCCCGGCCCCTCTGTCCTCTGCGGCCCTCTGCCTGGCCGCGGCGAACCCTTGGAGACGCCCTCTCCCTCTGGGCTGGGACTCCTGACGCTCTTGCTCTCAAGGCTGAGCACAGGGAGAGTGAGGAGTCGGGGACCTAAGGAGGTCAGAAAGAAGAGGCTCTTCCCTGGCTTATGGCAGATGTCCTCTAGAGTGGAGTCCAAGCCGGGATGGGCTGAGAGGGACCCCAACAGCTCCTGGAGGCTTAAGGATTGACTTCCTTTGGGGGTCTTCCATTGCCAAACCCACCAGGGAGTCCGAGGACAGGGAACCTGGATGATGCGAGGGTCAGAGCAGCCCGGAGAATCCACGGAGAGGGGAGGACAAAGGGAGATTAACTGGCTTTCTTGCATAATCCTCACCAGCGCAAATCCCTTCTTTTTTATGCTGCAGAGATGAGACTGGTTAATGAGTTGCAGATATATTTCATAAACATGCATTCTTCCACACCTTCATGGAAACCCCACTTTCAGATTGTCTCCATTCCAGCCTGGAACCCCATTCCTCATTCGTTTTATGTTTACCCATTCTTCAAACAGTGAAGATCAGGCACCTCCCGTGCTTCAGGCATTGTGCGGAGTCATGAGTGAAATGGGAACTGTCATTTTCTATGCAGATCAAAGTTTGGAAATAGTATCTATTCATTTCTAGAAAATTCAGGCAGGTGTTATTTAGAAGGTGCCTTAGAACTGTTTGGGATGTGTTGTGTTTTGTAGAGATGATGCCAGGGCAGGGATGGCTTTGTGCTGATCCGCCTGCAGGTGCAGGATGAGGTATGACATTTGAGGACAACAAACATGGGCCTGTGGTGCTTCTCTTCAGTTGCCCAAGGAAGGGAATCTGTCGATTTCTGAATTGTTAAGGTGTTCGATTGCCTTCAGGGGTTCTGAATTACTCAGGATGTTGTCAGATTAGTAGACAGACAAGGGGATGGCCAGCTCCCTGCCACAGGCCTGAGGAGGTCAGAGGCAGCCCGTGGGTGAGATAGAAGTTGTGTTGAAGACACACTTCCTTACCAACCACATGTTGGCTTCTGTTTTGTCCCCTGCAGAAAGCGAGGAGGAGATGGCCACCAAGGAGAAACTGCAGTGTCTGAAAGACTTTCACAAGGACATCCTGAAGCCATCCCCAGGGAAGAGCCCTGGCACGCGGCCTGAGGACGAGGCTGAGGGGAAGCCCCCACAGAGGGAGAAGTGGTCCAGCAAGATCGACTTTGTACTCTCTGTGGCTGGCGGCTTTGTCGGCTTGGGCAACGTCTGGCGTTTTCCGTACCTCTGCTACAAAAATGGTGGAGGTGAGTATAGGCTGGGCAGAGAGAAGGGTCGGGACAGAGAGGGGATGGCCTCTTGTGCCCTGCTTTCCCTAGTCCCCACCTTGACCTCCCTCAGCCAGCCTGCTGCACCTTCGCCCTGCCCCACCCCACTTAGCGGCAGGAGAGGAGCACGCCTGGGAGGCAGGCGGCGTTCTGTCAGGGCCTTTCTGTGTCCCCTTGAGCAGAACACTTATACTCTGATCCTTCAGGTTGCCGTCCCTGAAGAGCGGTGATGAGGCCAGGTCCACATCCCCCAAGTCTCCAATACTCACACTCCCTTCATAAATTTTCTCTTACTTGTGTGCCTCCTGACTCCCTTCTTACGTTATGTCCTTCCTAACATTTGCTTTGGCTTTTCTAGTTTAAACCAAATGTAGTTCAAAAGCAAGCTTCACTTCCCCTCATAAATGGGAAACCAGTATCATTTGCCATATTGGAAAGGTATCCAGGGAAAAAAGATACAGTGAAGAGATTTTCTAATTTTTCTGTTTTAATTAAAATTTCTTTTCTGATTTTACTGAGATATAATTGGCATATAACATTGTATTAGTTTCAGGTGTACAACATAATGATTTGATATGTGTATATGTATTGTGAAATAATCACTACAATAAGTTTAGTTAGCATAAATCACCTCAGAGTCATGCACTTTTTTCTTGTGAGAACTTTTAAAATTCTTCTCTTAGCGACTTGAAGTAAATACAGTGTTATTAACTACAGTCAACATGCTGTACATTCCGTCCCCAGAACTCACTTACAACTGGAAGTTTGTAGCTTTTCACTGTCTTTACTCATTGAAGATATTTTTGAAATATTAAGGTCTTGGTTGGTTTGTGTTTTTTGTTTTTTTTTTAACCTGAAGGCTGTGAGCTAGAATCCTCTGCTGTTGGAGGTGCTCAAATCAGGCAGCAGGTGCTGGGACTGTGTTGCTGTACAGTAGGAGGGGCCTTGGGAGAACTGGAGAGAGAGAGGTGCCCATGATTGAGGGCTTACCGGTCAGCAGAGATGGGCATGCTGCATACAGCCCTCATTAGGAGAACTACCTTTTGGGAAATTCTGCCTTAGAGTCTGGTTTCTTAACCTTTTGTAGGTCTCAGGTGCCTTTGGGACTCTGATGAGTGTTCTAGACGCTCCCCAGAGCAAAGCGCATACACATAGACCCAAGTTGCCCACAGTTTCAAAGGGTTTATGGACCCGCTGAAGCCATTAGTGGACACCAGGTAGGAACCCTCACCCCACCTCTTTGCCCCTCACTCCTCCCCTGGCTCCCATCCACAGCTGGAGGTGCCCACCTCTTGCTTCTCATCATCACACCCTTCCTAGCTAGTTCGTCTCAGCTTCCTGCTCTGGGCAGGCCTGGGGACAGGTAGGTGAAGGCTTCAATGAGGAGGTCATATTGGGGATGGGTCTTAAGGGCTAAACAGTTCCTATTCAGGTGGACGATGTGGGGAAGACAGGCAGGCAGTTGGCACAGCTTAACCAGAGGCTCTGAGGCTGAAAGCACCTGGTAGACTTGAAGAAGCTGAAAGGGCACGCTGGAAAGGTGATGCCAGCTGAACAGGGGGGCAGGGCCTGGAGAATTTTCAACCATGTCCAGGAATTTGGCCTTTACCCCTCACATCCCTCACACGTTCTCTCTGGTTCCATTGGCCGGGAGGGCTTGGGAGCGAGCACCTGCAGCCTTGGCTCTTGCGACAGACCCAGCCTGACCCTCATCCCACTCTGCTCTCTCCGCAGGTGCATTCCTCATACCGTATTTTATTTTCCTGTTTGGGGGCGGCCTGCCTGTGTTTTTCCTGGAGGTAATCATAGGCCAGTACACCTCTGAAGGGGGCATCACCTGCTGGGAAAAGATTTGCCCCTTATTCTCTGGTGAGTATGTGACAAAGGTCACCGGGGGCCTGCTGTTCATTGGTTCTGCAAATTTTTACTGAGCACTTGCTGTTTGCCAGGTACATCATAGCCTCATGCAAGTCACTTGGCACTGTGCCTCACAGAAGGTAGCAGCCAGTACATGATACACATGAAGCTGTTAACAGTGACTGCTCAATACATATTAGCTGTTCCCACCTCTCTGGGTTGTCTGGATAGAGAAACCAGCAGTTGCTTAACAGTATAGTGCAGAAGATAAGCACCGGATTCAGGGGCCTTGCTGTCTGGGTTCGAGTCCCTCTTCCTTCTCTTGCTAACTCTTGTGACTTTGGGAAAGTCACTTAAATCTCTTTGTGCCTCAATTCCCTTCTCTATAAAATGGAAACAATATGCTTTTACCTTTACTATAAAGACAAAATGACATTATGTAAAAGTGCTTTGTCCTCATAGAAAGCCCCAAACTAAGGATATCTTTATTATTAAAACATTCAGACCTATGTCTAGTACCTAGCATGCATTCATAATACAATACTGTTATGATTATAACTGGCAAGGATGGGAGGATGTGTGTCTATTTAGTCACCCATATAAATCTGTCCATCTATCATCCATTAAATCTTTCTTAATTAAACTAGTCAATTTAGTTAGATTATCCATCTATTCATCTATCCATCATCCATCTGTCTACCCATCTACTCATTCATCCATCTATTCATCTACCTAACCTTCCAGCCAATCACCAGCCATACATCCATCCAACAAATCAAATGCCCATCCATCAATCTAACATCAACCCATTCAGTTCTCTACCAGTCTATATAACTAGCTCTGTAACCATTCATCCATCTAACCATCCACTCATTGACCTAACCCATTTCCATGTAGGATCTTTTATTCATCCAAGTATCCCATTTATCTAATCATCCATTTTTTTACCTTTCCATCCATCCCTCCATCCATCCAGTCATCCATTCAGTATACAGATATTTTCTGGTCACTGTTGAAGGTCCCCTGGTGGTGCTACAGCCTTCCATTTGAGTATGTGGACACAGAGGATCTGGACTTCCTTCTGATGCTTGTCTTGCTTATCCATACCTGCAGGCATTGGCTATGCCTCCATTGTGATCGTGTCCCTCCTGAATGTATACTACATCATCATCCTGGCCTGGGCCACGTACTACCTGTTCCAGTCCTTCCAGTCAGAGCTGCCCTGGGCGCACTGCAACCACACCTGGAACACACCCCATTGCATGGAGGACACTATGCGCAAGAACAAGAGCCTGTGGAACACTCTCAACACCAGCAACTTCACCTCCCCTGTCACTGAGTTCTGGGAGTAAGGCTGGCCTCACTAAGGAGGGAGGGAGGGCATGGGTGGGGGCAGAGAAGACAGCCCACTCCTTTGTCTTCTCCCCGGCAATGTGGGATCAGGGAGAAGATGGGTACAGATTTGGAGATAAATCCACGCCTTTGGTCTCAGACAGGCCTGGAATTGAGTCCCAGTTCTGCCATTCTACTGGCTGTTTGATGTTTAGCAAGTCTCTACCCCTTTCTGAGCCTCAGTTTCTTTAACTGTCAAATGAGGGGAATGAATTGTTCCAACACGCACAGGATCTCTATGAGGATTTTTTTCCCAGAGACAGGTATATGTACTTATATTGCTCAAAAATGATATCATTTTCTTATATATTTTAGAAGAAATGTAGTTAGCACATCAAACCTGTTATTGCACAGAAAAAAATGCATATATGAAGCTGAATTAGTTACTCAAGTGAAAAGGTGAATAGATAAAGTAAAAATTATGCATCAGTTAGCTTGTGCTATGTAACAACCATCCCCAACTCTGTGGCTTTAAATGACAACCATTTCTTTGGCTCAAGGTTCTGCTGATTGGCAGTTTGGGCTGAGCCTGGCTGGGCAGTTGTTCTGGTCTTTGCAGGGTTCCCTCATGGGCAGGCCAGCTGTAGGACATGAGGGTAGCTCTTCTGGGGATTGGCAGGTTATTGGCTGGGGTGCCACGATCCATATGATCTTACCACCCAGCAGGCTACCTTGAACTTACTCAGAGGCAGCTTGACATGCCAAAGCAACAAATGGGAAAGTCCCAATCAGGAGCAGTTTTTAAGCCTCTGCTTGTGTCATTTTTGTTAATGTCTTGTTGGCTAAAAAGTAAGCCGTAAGACCAACCCAGATTCAAGTGGTGGAGAAATAGCCTCTGTCTCTTTATGAGAGGAGTGGAGAATGGGCACTTTCACAGTTTACCACACTATTGTCAATAGGAGTATACACATAGGACAAACATCAGAAAGGCAGAGTGTGGAGGGGCTTGAAATTTGGGTACCTCTTAGCTGATATATGGGAAAGCTCTTCTAACATAGTCCATGGAGGCCAGTTAAAGATATAATTATTGCATCCCTTTCCTTACTCTTCATGGGTGCAGCCCCCTCAATCTGGAGATAACTGAGGTAAGGCCTTGCATGAAGCTTGAGAACCAGGAGCTGGGAATGCTAAGAAAGCAAGTGGACTCTAATCATCACGAGATGATACTCCCTCTCTTTTGTGCATGGCTTTGCTGTTTCCAAAGTGTCTCCGCACCTCTTAGAACCTGGCCTAGGAAGAGGCCCGCAGGAGAGGAGGCGGTTGCCTGCTGCTCGGTCCCAGGCATGCTTTGGGGCCAGAGCTGGGGAATAAAAGTCAAGGTCAGTCAGCCCCCACTCCGATGGTGCATGTCCCTGTCATGACGTGTGGGCATTTCAGTTTATGCCCCCAGGTCCCTGGGGCTATTGAACTGGGGCTGTGTGTACATGTTTTCCGCTTGCAGACAAAGAGGGCATTACAAGCACATTCATCACCCCCTCAGCTCCCCACCCTCTGAAGAGCTGAGTTTACAAACAAAGAAATGCGGCACTTTATTCTTCTCACTTGAATGGGCCTGAGACCGCAGCCCTGTCCGCTCTCTGCTGTTCCTGGCACAGCCTGATCACCCAGGGCCTGCCCCGCCCAGGACACTGGCACTCAACGCGCCACTCGGGCGCCATGTGGCCCTGGGCATTGATTAGCTGTCTGGGTTCAAGCCCTGGCTGTGCCACTTCTAGCCTGGCCGGGTGCCTTTGCCTCTCTGGACCTTGGTGTCCTTACCTGTACCTGAAGAGGTCCTAACACTGCCCTCCCAGGGATGGCCAGCCTGAGAACCTGTGTGACAAGTATGGGCCATTGTTATTTATTTAGTGTCCTCACAGTGGATCAAACTGCTCCTCAGGAGCCTTGGGAACTCTTAAGTGATACAGCTTTCAGAAGGACTAAGAACGGCCCTCTCTCAGATGCCCATGTTGTCCCCCTCCTCGGTTCCTCTTCCCTGGTCTCCCTGCCTCTAAGGCCTGAGGGCTCTTGAGAAGACACTCACATGAGCTGTAATGTCCTCAGGGTGTCCAGGCCTCACTCATGCCTTCTCCCTTGCCAGATTGGGCCCTACTAGGGGGTTCTAAGTCTCCTGCCTTCCAGGATCTCCGTTCTCAGCACCCCAGCTCCCTTTCTGGGCCTGGAAGACATTAAGACAGTGTTTCTCTTTTCAGATTTCCTGGTCCTGCAGGCACCTTCCCAAGTCCCACATGATCCAGATGGACTTGCTCAGTCCAGACAGTTCTGGCTGCCTGTCTGATGCTCCCTTCCCACTGCAGCCTCTGTACCTGCTTCTGGTTCTAACAGAGTTTTGTGAACCCACCTGAACATCCATAAATAACTCGCCTTCTTTCTAGAACACCAGAGGACTGGGGTCCACAGAGGAGGAGCCTGGAAAGCAGGCTTCGGGGAGAGGCCCTGGGCCTGGCGCCCATGTAAGCAGAGAGGCCGAGGCCAACGAGCCGGGCCGGGGGCTTCAGCTCAGTGCCGCCGAGTCCAGCACAGTGGGCAAGAAGGGCCTGGCCTCCTACCTTTGAGAGCCTTCCATTCTCTTGGTCATGAAAGAGGGAAAAGAGTTCTAATGTGGAATGACTGATTCCCATGAGCATTGTGCCAGGGACTGGCCCCTACCCTTTCATTTCATCTTTGCAGAGGCCCTATAAATAGGCGTATCTAGGCCTCATCCCAAACTGCTTTCGACCTCAAATCCCACATCCAATTCATAGGTCCTCTTGGCTCTCCCTTGCAAATATATTCGGAGTCCGACCCCCCCCGACACTGTAGCCCTCCTCCCCGCACCGCAGGACCCCCGTCATCCTGCTCCCAGACCCCGCACTGGCCCTCTCTGCATTCCCGGCCCTGCCCTTGCTGTTTACTGGACATTGCTTAAAGAACACACTGGTGGGAGAAAAATGGACATGTATTAAGCACCGGCTCTATAGAGGGCCTCAGAGGGCTTGGCCGTCAGTGGGTCTGGGTTCCGTTTGGCAAGAAACTTAGCTTATAGGATTCCCCCTGAAAATAGCCACCAGCTCCACAGTGACTGGCTTTGGGATTTCCATTGAGAAAGGCTTGCTGGATTGTTACTGAAGTGTCACTGGCTGGTACCCCTGTTGGGCTGCAAAACAGTGTGGATCTGTCGAAGGCTGGTGTCCGTGCACCTCGAGGTGAAGCCCAGTCATAGCCATTGTTTCCCTTCTCTTACCTGCACCAGATGCCTGGCTCCCTGAGTTATCTTTTCCTTGGGCAGATGATGCCTGATGGGTACTGAGGAACTCCCTGGGAATCGAGTAGCCGGGCACCCGGGGCCTTCCTCCTGGCCCTGGACAGAGAAGGACCTTGTTGGTCATCCCTGCCCTGCTCCAGCTTTACATGAGGAGATGGTAGAGAACAGGGGGCGGTGCTCCCATCCCTTAGATGGAGGCTGACTCTGGCTCCCACATGTCCCAGCTGCATGTCCTGGGGGCAGTCACCTCACCTGTCCAATCCTTAGAGACAGCATTGCACAGCCCCACTAGAGTGTTAAAGAAGTTAAGGCAGGGCCTCCAGGCATGGCCTATTACACAGGACACTGAGGACCAGAGAGGTTAAGTGACCTGCCAAAGGGTGCCCTGTAGCCAGACATAGCCCAGTGCCCAGCTCTGACCTCAGCCCCTGGATGCCACCTCCAATGTCTGTGTTTCCATTAGCTGTGAGTCCAGGCTAAGGCCAAGGCCACACATATCATCGTACCGTGTGTGTGTATGTGTGTGTGACCCTACTCTGCGGTTACGCAGGGGGTCTTCTCTTGGCCCAGATCCCCTGTGCCCACCCCGTCTTCAGTGCCTCAGCACCCTGCTCAGCAGGAGCCAGTGAGGCTCCCTTTGCCAGGCCCCTGGGAAACCCACCTGGCCTCCTAAGATCATCATTAGATGCCGGCTTTGTAATTGAACTCTGAGTCAGTGTGTAATGGGGAAGCAGAGCTTGCCCCAGTCACGTTGGTCCCGGTCATCCCTGCTCTGCGGTTACCTTTGTCCTGAGGGTCCTGCTTCACCCCAGGCCCTGAAAGACAGGTGGGGCCAGATCTGGCCAAATGCCTTCCTTCCTCCCCCGTTCCTCCAGAGCCCTCTGGGAGCTCAGCACGTATCATTAGACTTTATTAGAATCAAAGAAATGAGTCATATTTGCAAACAAGCCCCGCTCAGCCAATCTTCCCCTGCAGCTGTTAGGAGGGGGAGGCGGGGGAGAGAGCCTTGTGTGGCCCCATGCTCAGGGCGGACGGGCTCTTTTATAATTGTTGCTTCCATCAGTCTCCAGGGAAGAGCCATCGCCAATAAATGGCTGGCCGGCAGTCAAAAGGAAACGATTTGGCCCACTTGGAGGACGTATTTACATCTCTGAGTGCTGGCTGGACGGCAGCAGGCTGGCCGACTCAAAACAGACGTCCAGGCAATTCTTTTTTGGATCCCACCCTGGAATGAATCATTACTATTCTTGGACAAGAATGCAGCTCACCTCTGCCTCTCCTCCCACTGTTTGAGAGATGCAGGGGAATTTGGGATGCTCAGGCCCTCGTGAAGGGCAACCTAGGACCCAGCACACTGGGGGCAGGTCCCCAGGGTGGCATCAGAAAAAAGACCAGGCCCAGGGTTGGTTGTTATCTGGGAAATTTCAGGTGTATTCCTGAACCTGTCTGAGCTTCAGTTTCTGCATCAACAAAATGGGTATAACTGGATTACTCAACTACTGTCTATTGAGCATTTACTATGTGCCAGGCTGTGTACTGGATCCAGCAGAGATGAGGACAGACACAGGTCCTGTCTCCATGGAGATGTTGTGTAAGTAGAACAAACAGACATTAAACAGATACCACAAATAAAATTCTAACAGAAAAGTGATAACTGATGGAAAATAAAGCCAGGGCCAAGGAAGGAGAGTGGCCAGGGATGCTTTTTACATAGGGTGGCACGGAAAGACGGGCCGCCCTGGTGAAGTGGTATTTGAACAGAGACCTGAAGTGGGCGTGGGGGTTCAAAGATCCTGAGGCAAGAGCATGCTCCACCTATTCTGGGAACATTCCAGAAGGCAGTGTGGCTGAAGGAGGAAATGAAGGGGGCCATACGAGAATGAGGTTTGAGATCCCCGTACTCAATGTGGTACGGGGATGGGACTATCCATTGTACGTACAGCTTGTCCTGGACGTGTCCCATTCACACCTGTGGTTCTGGTGTCCTTAATAGGCACCATCCTCCTTGAAGGTATCTGGATCTCAATGACAGAGTATTTGGAAACATTCAAGGAGACAAAAAGGAATGGGGCAAGTCAGGAGGGCCTTTTTGGCCAGGTAGTTTGGAGCCATGGGGGGATGCAGGCAGAGGAGAGCATGGCCCGACTTGGGCGTTGACAGCTCGGTGAGAACAAACGGGGGCCGAGAGTGGAGGCAGGAGAGACAGGAGCTGCTGCCCTAGCCCTGGCGAGCGGCGGGGTGGTGGTGGTGGTGGGGGGGGAGATGTGGCCGGCTTGGGGGTATACCAGCGTGGTTAGGAGGCACCTGTGAGGGGCAGTGCACCATGGCAGTCCCTCTGCGGCATGGCACTGCGGTTTTCTGAGCACTGGCGGGAGGCCCAACAGATCCCGGTCTGCTTTGTGGCTGAGAGACTTGATGGTCCTTTGAACTGGGTCCCTTCGAGAATGGATTCAGATAGACCCACGCTCTTTCCGGCCTTTGTGGCTACCCTTGAGATAACCTTGGAAAGGGTGGATGTCAGTCCCTTTGGCCCCGAGCCCGTGTTAGGCTCAGTTATGACAGCCTTTGATTGATGAGACATATTCCATTCTTGGAAAGTCTGCATGGCCCATTACGAACATTTTCTAGAGTTTAAAATAGTTTGTATAAAGGTGATACGTGCACACTGAAAACATTCAAATAATGAAAAAATATATTGAATGTGAAGTGAGTTCCCCCTCCCTCACATCCCCACCCAACAGGCCCCTCCCGAGCAGCAGTGACACAACCAGCGTCTTCTATGTCCTGCCAAAAATAGTCTGTGCGTGTTCAAGCACAATGCGCATTCATCCCTTTTTACACAATAGGGAGCATGTATTGTGCTGTTCCTCACCTTGCTTTGTTCCCTTATTTATCTCCAGGATGGAGTTCCTTATCAGTACCCAGGGAGCTTTCCCAACGTCCACAGGCTGCATAGCATTCCTCTGTGTGTGTTTTGTGCCCGCTCTGCCCCTACTGATGGCCATTGGGGTGGTTGCCAGTTTTTTGCTCTTACAGGCAGCACTGTGGGGTGGACCCTGACTTTGGCCACATGTGCAAGTATAACTGTAGGGGAAGAATCTTGGGAATGGAATTCCTGGGTCAAAGGAAACATGCCTGACAGTGTCGCTGGAGGCGTGAGATCCTGCAAGGAGATTGCCGCCAGTAAGGAAAAAAGCAAGTCATGCCTCGGGTTCCTTGTGGCCTGCCTAGCTGGGTAGAGTGAGACAGCGTGGCAGCCTCGCATTCGTAGCGGGCACCGCTGGTTTTCCCAGAGCGGTGGGGAGAGAAGGCAGAAAGGTGTCAGCGAACTGACTGTTGGCTTGGTGCCATCAGAATCCCAGCTCCAAGGTTTCAAGCTTCTTCACCAAATTACTGTTAAGGAGAAAAGGCCATCTTAGGACTGGGTACCTCCTCAGCATTAGCTGAGCACCTACTGTGTGCCTGTCTGTGGGGTTCTTTTCCTTGGGATGGTAGGCAAGCCAGACTTGTCACCAAAAGTGACATCCAGTGTGAAAGAGCAGGGAGGGACTCTACAGATAGGCGAGACTTGGCATCCCAAGGTGACACCCGGCGTGAGAGGACAGCCAGGGACTCCATGGTTGGTCACCTGTGGAGCTAAAGGAAGGTTCCTCCGGAAGCGTGAGGGTGGTGTGCTTGGCGTTGGCGAGGGAGCAGCGGTGTGGAGGTGGGAAAGAGCGCTCGCCCTGACACTGCCCATTCACAAGCAAGCCTTGGGCCACTGCCCAGCATGCCCTGGGCCTTCATTGAAGGCACCGAGCTCTGGAGGCTGCACAGGGAAGGCTTTTTGTTTTAAAGCTGCTGCAGCCGCCAGACTCACATGCTTGGCAGAGCCCCAAGCGGGATGCAGTTGGCCGCCGGCCCTGCCTTATGTGGGGACATCCATGTTCCCCGGCTCCAAGGTCCTAGGTGATCCCAGCCCGTAGCGGGGACTAGAGAGATTCTTTTTAAAGTTTGGGCTCTATGTTCTCTGTGAGTCAGAGGGGCAGTCAGGTGAAGTCCAGAGAGCGCTGGCTTTTGGAGTCAGGCAGGCCTGGGTATAGTGGCAGTTCTGCCCCCTGCTGTCTGTGTGTTTGTGGGCCGTTGGCCCCTCCAAGCCAGGTTTTCCCCGTCGGTGAAAGGGGGCAAATAACCTCTAGTCCTTGGGTCAGAGGAGATAAATTGAAAGGACCTTGGTGTTAGGATGAGCACACACTGTCCTTGGTGACAGTGGGGAGCCCATCAAAGGTGGGATGACCGGCAAGGAAGGGACGAAGGAAAGCTGCCTCTTCTTAAGGTTTGTTAGTGGAAATATTTCATGGATTGGTCCCAAGTGACATGCAAACTTTCCATTCACCCCAGTTAAGTCCTTTCATTCCCTCAACATGTATTTATTTAGGCCCTACTCTGTGCCACGTGCTGTGCTAGGTGTGGAACAGAGCAAAGAAAGGCCTGGCTTGAATGCCAGTTGAGGGGTGCTTTTGGGTTTATTCAAGGTCCTCATGTTGAACCTTCTCTGGGGAAATGGGGGAGGGAGGAATACTGAAAACATGTCCCAGAGTCCTGACCAAGGGGATCATCCCGCCGCTGGTTGAGAGCTAGCGATGGGCTGGGAGGGTTTCCCAGCAGCACCCTGGGCAGGAGCTGCTTATGTTTTACAGATGAGGAACCTGAGGCCCAAAGTCACTGTATGTCTCCCCTGTTTCAAATAGGGAGCTGACTTTCATTAGAAGGAACCTAGCACCTGCCAGTGGAGCATGAGCGCTCTGTCCCCCATGGGTTGTGGCCTGGAGATCTGGTGGGCAGGTGACTTCAGGGAACTGGTAGGCAGGGCCAACGTCCCTTTGCTCAGTGTGGCTGCCCTTGGTCAGTGCTGCAGCAGTCAGAGCTCTGGGACAGTGTGGCCGTTTCTGGGCACCAGGTTGCAGGGTCTTCTCAGCCATCAGCACCTGTGCTGCCCTACCCCAGCTTCAGTGGCATCTGCCTCTTAGGAGTGTGTCTGTGCAGGTGCTTGTACGCGTCAGCAAGGTTCTTGACTGCAAAGATCCAGGCTGGGCCGTGTGCTGCTGGGCAGGGTGGGTGGCTACACCGTGCAGATTGTCCTTCGAACGGCCTACCTGCAGCCTTTCGAGGCCTTCACAGCTCTGGAAGGGAAGGAGGGAGCCAGCACTGCTTAGGTGCTGGAGCTGCCCCAGACCTCTTGGCATCACAACAGTAAGAGCTGCTAGGTTTCTCCGTGGCTGGCTGCGGCCCCTGGCTTGGTAGTTAGTACTTCGGGTGGGTTTTCTCTTAACAATCCATGTGAGGAAGTGGGTGTGTGTTCTACAGCCACAGGTAGAATACTCTGCCCCCCTTGAGGCTTACATTTTAGTGAGAGATCCAGATAAGAAACAGAGATGAGTAAACCAAAAGAGGCATGCTACGGCAGGTTAGGGGACGGTAGCTATTCCCGTCTTATAGAGGAGTCCGCGGTCTGGGAGATTGGGTGGCTCGCGCAAAGTCGGCGATTGCATGGTGGAGCCAGGTCTTCTGAGAAGCAGTGACACGGTACTCATTTTACAGATGAGGAAACTGAGGCTTAGGGGTGTATTTAACTAGCCCAAGGCCAGGCTGGGTTGACCCCAGGTTCACCTGACTTAGGAGTCTGAATTCATCCCCTGGTTGACTTCCTCAACAACTCTGTGACAAGGGTGTTAACTATTTCCCAAGACCAGCGGGCAATTCCCGGGTCTGGAGAGGACAGGTGCCCAGTGCAAATGCAGCACATGATCTAGGATTTGAACCCCAGCCTGCCCAGAACTTGGCCCGACTGACTCGCGGCTCTGTTTGCTTCCAGGCACAACGTGCTGAGCTTGTCTTCTGGAATCAACAGCCCCGGCTCACTGAAGTGGGACCTTGCTCTCTGCCTTCTTTTCGTCTGGTTGGTCTGCTTCTTCTGCATCTGGAAGGGCGTCAAGTCCACAGGGAAAGTGAGTTGCCCTTCTGCCCCTCCCCTGCCATGGAGACTGGCCCTCGCCAGAGAGCCCCTCCGGCCCTGCAGGCCTCCCTGCCCGGCACTGGCCCTGACCTAGGATGGGTGTGGGCTGATAAACCAGTCCTCGAAAAGCAAGTAAAGCCCTAGTCTGTAGCGTTTCCTAACTTCAGCGCATAAAGACTCCCACCGTGTCTGATTTTAGGTTATTGATGGTTTAACAACCAGCTTGCAAAATTCCTGAAAATGGAACAGTCGGCTCTCTCTGCAGCCTGCATGAGCCCCCACACACCGCTGGTTCCCCCATCAAGGCGCTGGCTGTAGGGCAGGTGTTAGCAGATAACTAATGCTGAGGTTGTAACTGCTAAGATAGCTGGTAATGAGGTTCTCTGCAATTCTGTTAATTAGCAACTCTTCCAGGACAACATGGACCCACTGGGAGCTTGTTAGACATGCAGACCCTGTGTGTGGGCCTGCCTTGGACCTACAAACGCAGAATCTGTTTGAACGGGAGCCCAAGATAATCCAAATTTACATCGAAGTTTGAGAAGCATTGGCTTGGATTTTTGCTGCTAAGTCAAATTAACTAAATTGTCTTACCGTTTACATTTTAGCTAGTAACTAAGACGTTCCTTATTAAGGAAAACTTTCACTGGTGATTAAGTACCTCATGCATAACCAAGATGTTTAGTTGTTAACCATAATGTTAGCCATAACTGAAATAATTCGCTGCTGATTAATGTGTTACATGATGACTAGGATGTAAGCTATTAACAAAGGCGGTAGTGGATAATTAAAATACTAGCTTATAATTAAGATTTCAGGTATCCGCTGATACATATTGGCAATAATGAAAATGGTAGCCTGGAACTAAAAATGTTCTGTGTTAACACAGCTGAACAGTTACCTGCTCACCAAGACACTGACTGGCATCATATCACTCTAAAGACAAAGTCAGTGTGGAGGAGTCTGTTGTGGTCAGAAGTGTGAGCCTGGACCCAAAGCACGAAGCCAGCAGCTAGGGGCCTGGCTAGATCTGCATTTACATGCCCATCTGTCACTTCTCCCCATCAGTTGCATCTTGACAGGGGGAAAATCTCTAAGATCAAAGAGCACCCCCCCCCCAGTCAAAAAGTATGTTAAAGTAGTGTTTGAGGTACAGCGGTGGGCAGTAAAGGAGTCGTGTGGAGAATTTGGACTCAAGGACCATGTTCTCTAGGGCTGAAGAGCCCCGTAGGCAAAGGTGTGGATCTGGACAGGTTCCAGCTGGGCGAGATCTGGGCCCCCGTGGCTGCGGAGGCAGAACAGGGTTGCTTTTGGAGTGGGGGCCCGCGCCTCCCGCGCCCTCTGCCTCTTTCTCAGGGCAGAACCACCCGGTCTGTGATCCTAAAACCCAGTGTGGAAGGGAAGCAGGCCGGGCTTCAGAAACCTGCCCCCGCACGCCCAGCTAACATCGTCCCCGGGACGGGCAGCGAGGGGCCAGCTCATGTGATCCCTGCAGCTGGGTGGTGCTCACCCACCTGTTATCCCCTTTCCTCACCTCCTCTCTGTCAACAATAAGGGAACTGAGCCCAAAAGGTGAGGTGACTTGTCCAAGGTCGCTCCCTCACCCTGAGCCTCAGTTTCCTCATCCAGAAAGTGGGTGGTAAAGAGGGTTAAAACCAGGTATGTCCAGCACCTAGCACAGTGTTTAGCATGGACTGTGCAGTAAGCGCCAGTCCCTGCCTCACCCTGCCTCTGTTTCCCCTCAGCGGTGAGCCTGTCAGGAAGTCTCTGCAGAGCGCTGGCCCCGGGCAATGCTGGAGGCACGACCATTTACTCAGGCTCCCATATGCGTTGAGCCTCTGCATCTGCCAGGTCTTGTTGGACAAACGGGGCCTGGGGATATGCAGGAGTCAAGAAAACAGAAAAAGCCCTTGTGGTCCAAGAGCCGACAGATTCATCAGTTGTAGCGAGGGGAATGTGTAAAATGCAGGGTGGGGCAAAAGTAGGTTTACAGTTGTGAGTACGCGAAATGCGGAGTTTATTCTTGTGTATTATTTATTAATTATTGTATTTTCTGTATGAACAACAGCAAATCTACTTATGCCCGACCCTTTAGAAGAGTAAGATGGTGACAAGACCTGAGGAAGAATAATGGTGCAAAAGAGAACAGGGAGTATTGGGCGCAACGTTAAATAGTGTGGCCAGGCAGGGTTCGTCGAGAAGGGGACTTTAACGAAGATCTGAAGAAGTGACGGGGGGAGCCACGTGGACACCTGGGGGAGAAAGAAATTCCTGGGAGAGGGAGCAGACCGCTAGTGCAAAGGCCCTGAGGTGTGTCTGACCCACACCCTTCAGGAGCCCCCAGTCTGATGGAGGAGGCCAGTGTCTGCCAGGAACAGGGGGCAACATTTGAGACACAATGGAGGGGGCAGGAGAATAGAATCAAAGCAAAAATAGTTCCAGGCTGCAACTGTGGCCAGTTGAAGACGTGACTTGTCAAATATCCCCCTAGCCTGCCCCTAGAGACAACCTCCTCCTCTGGCAGCCCCAGGCTCCTAGAGGGGCAGGCGTGGTTCACAGAACAATAGCAGGGTCTGCGCCAGCCCGAAGAAGCCAAGACAAAAGCACGATCAGGCTGAAGCTCCACGGCCCGCCTGCCCACCACCAGCTTTGGCTTCTAGCTCTAGCCACAGGCCAGGCTCACAGCTAGCCCGGTCCAGGGAGGTGACAGAAGTCCAGACCCTCACACCAGCAGTATAGTCCTGTGGACCCAAAGGAGGGACACAGCACACATGTGTTCTGGGGCTGTGCCTCTCCACCGCTGGCCTCCAGGGCAGCTGTTCCACCCAGAGCTTAGACATAAAGCAGTGGTGGCAATCAGAGCCAGTCCTAGGTTTGGGTCTCAGCTCTGTCCCCGACAAGCTGCAGAACTAGGGGCAAATCCCTTTCCCTCTCTGAGCCTCATTTCCGCCATGTGTGAAATGACTTAGCAATGCCACTCCCTCCCCGCTATACACAGGGCTGCTGCGAGGACCCTCAGGGCCTGTTAGGCACTGGGCAGCGACACCGGGCCCCTGCAGCCCAGGCCTTCCCCCTCAAAGGAAGCTCAAGGTCGCTGGACGCTAGCCCATCTCTCTCCTGCCTCGCAGGCCACCCTCTCCCCACTGTCATTAGAGAATGAGGAAGAGTTGTCCTTGCAAGTTTCCAGGGCAATTGGGCCATAGGGCATCTGGGTCGAGGGCTTGGAGGAGCCACAGAGGTTTGCCAGAGAGAATGGAAAACTACCATGTCCCGTGGCAAGGCCTGCTGGGCCACCGCCAGAGGCCCACTGGCGGCAGTTGGCACCAGCCTCTCCCATAAGGATCCCGGAGGAGTCACGGAAAAGTTGAGAGAACAGCTCTCAGGGGCTTGTCCTCGGAGCAGTAAATTCTGCAAAACAAGGGTGGCTTTACAAGGAGGCAGCGGGGGTGAGGCTGTGACCAGGTGATGCTGTCCTGTTCTGGCTTTGGGGAAGAACACAACAACAAACACAAGACACAGGACCCTGGGCCCAGCTGACCTAGAGCCAATTCCACCTCTGCCACCCGTGAGCTCTGTAACCCCAGGCACCTTTTCACGTTGTGAGGATTAAATGAGTTATCACGTGTAAAGCTCTTAGCATGGTGCCTGGCACACAGTAAGCACTACATAAATGCTTGTTAAACAAATTAAATACAGAAAAACAAGGGAAGCCACCCCCTTCCCCTGGTGGTGTCCTGTGTCCCTGACACAAAGCTCTCTGGCCACTGCTTGGCCGTCCCTCCGTCCGGCCCAGCGGAGCCCAGCTGCTTTGAAGCAGCCGCCCTCCGGGGATGGCCTGCTGTCAGCAGCTATTGTTCCACAGCCCCAGGCGTGGCCGCTGGGGCCCAGAGGTGGGAACTGCTCAGGGGCCTGTCTGCAGGAAGGGAGGGGCAGCCTGCTGGTTTTCTTCTTTCACCCCTTCTGGGGCTTCCTGCCCTGCTCCCACCCCCCACGCCTGCCTTCGTGTCCTGGGGAAATAGTGAGGGTTCTCTGCCTCAGGAGAAGGAAATAGGGAGGCTGGGGAAACTGAGGCCCAGAGGAGAAAGGGCGTCCAGGGAGAGTGCAGGAGGCAGGGCAGGGCCCAGTTGCTCTATGGGATCATCAGGGGAGCACTTGTCCCTGCCGAGGTTTTTGGAGGGCACACTGTGTTCCATGCGTGAGCAAGGGAAGCACACATAGTCCCCTCCGCCCCGCTGGGCAGTGGCAGAAACAGGCACAAACCTGAGTCTGGGCACCCCCAAGCTGACACTCTTGGCCACTCCCCGCAACCCCATCCCCGGAGGGAGCCTCAGAGCTCATCTGGCCTGAGCACACCCCACTTCACAGGTGGGGAAGTAGAGCCCCGAGAGAGGCAGTCACTTGCTCGAGGCCTCACAGTAAGCCGCCCCCCACCCTCAGGGACGCCAGCCTCCCTCTGGCCTTTGGGAGGATTGACCAGACTGCCAGGTGGTGAAGGCCTTTTTCCTGCTTGTGTTGCCATCTGGGGGCAGGCTCTGGGGCGTGTCCCACTCTGCCACTTAGGTGCTGTGTGACCTATGTAAGGTAGGCAAGCGAAGGACTCTCTCTGGCCCTCAGGTTCCTGGCCTTTCACACGGGGATAGTAATAGAACCTCCCTCAAAGAGTGAGGGCAGGACTGACTGCGAAGAGAAGTCACCGCACTTGGAATAGCGCTGGGCACACCATGAGCGCTCAGTAAATGCTCGTTGGTGGGATTGACAGTGGGCAGCTGAGTCAGGCAAGGCCCTGAGAGCTTCCTTTGTGCCCTTTTCCAAAGTCCATTTCTGGTTGTTTCCACACCAAGAGATGGTGGCTGCCCGAGAATTCTGCCTCACCGAGGGGTCCTGGTCCTGTGCTAGCCAGGCGAGGTCCAGGGGACCTGTCGCCCTGGTGTCTGTTTCCTCCCAGGACCCCAGCAGGGCTCTGTGATACCCTGGCACTGCCTCCTCCCCCCAACACCACGGCACATGTGTCTCGTCCTCAGCCTTAGTCTCTTCACCTGTAAAGTCTGTGCACTGGCTGTGTGGCGGTTCCTCCTAGTTTCTAGCTCACGGGCCCCCCAGAGGAAGCCGGGAGCTCTGTGAACAAGCCTCGGGGCTCTGGGAGCAGATCCTGCACTCTGCAGATGGCTGGGGCAAGTCTCTGAGCCCTGCTGAGCCTCAGTACCCCACATCCCCCCAGCTCAGCAGGCAGCCAGTGTACCCATTTGAGGTGGGCATGGGGAGCGTGATGTGGGCTTCTGCCTGCAGAGTCCGCGCTCAGCCAGTGCCCTGCTGGAAGTCTCAGGATTTCTCCATCCCTTCAGCCACACACCTTCGAGCTCCTTCCAGGCATAAACCCTGACTGGAATCTTCTCATTAGGAAGAAAAAGATGGGGAAATCCACCCCTGAGGACTGAGGCCACGGGATGTTCAGAGACCAGTGCTTTCAGGACAGGAGAGGGAGAGAAAGTAGGGCAGGCCCTTGGGGATGGAAAGGCCAGCCTGGGTTATCTCTGGTCCGCGCCTTGCATGGACCCTGGCCTGCCTGAGATGTGCTGTATGACCCAGGGAAGGCTGTGGGCCTCCCATAGTTCCAAGGAAGCGGAGGGCCTTCCCCGTCCTGGGTGGGGGCCTCTAGAGGCCTCATTTCCTCCCCAGAGGTTCCCTTGTGCTTCCTGCAAAATCACAGTGTCAGCAACAGGCTCCGTTTCTTGAGCACCTAAATGTCAGGCCTCTCTTGATCATGTTAGAAACGTCATCCTTTTGAATCCTCATCTCACCTCTTTGAGGATGACTTTCTATTTCTCCTGTCTTCATTTTACACAAGAGGCAATAGGCCCTGAGAGGTTAAACCTGATGCCCAAGGTCACCCTGCCAGTGAGGGGAGAGAGCTGGGATTTGAACCCACATTTATCTGATTTTAACCATGAGTCATACTAATAGTTGTAATGTTAGCTACATGCCATGTGCCAACTATTGGGCTAAGCCTTTTTCATACACACTCAGTAGTTTACTTTCTTATTTTGCATTTTCCATCTCTACATCCAGAATGGTAGTTCCATGAAGGCAGGGATTTGTGTTCTGTTTTGTCCACCACTGTATTTCTAAGCATAAATATTTAACAAATATTTATAGGATTTTTTTCATTGAATCTCAATGAATCTATGAAGTAGGTACTTGTAACCTACCTCATACATATACAGGTGAGGCAATCGTGGCCCAGAGAGGTTAAGCAACATGCCCAAGATCTCACAGCAAGTGAAACAGCAGACTTAGCCACAGAAACCCCGCCTCAGAAAAGACGCTCTAATTTAGCAGCAGCAGGTGATGCCATTGGCCTCCCTGAACCCCTCTCGTCCCTCGCAGGTTGTCTACTTCACGGCCACTTTCCCGTTTGCTATGCTCTTGGTGCTGCTGGTTCGTGGACTGACGCTTCCCGGAGCAGGCGCAGGCATCAAATTCTATCTGTACCCTGACATCAGTCGCCTCGAGGACCCACAGGTACCGCAGGGCAGCCTGTCCTCCCTCCTACCCAGGGCCGTGGTTCTTGGGGGCCATCACCCCTAAGTAGTTTTCCACGGGGCAGCGGCGTATCGTTTGCAGCGCTTGTGGACTTTTCCAGCTGTGTGTGTATCTTTTCACACCAAGGACTCCTGAGGCGGGCCAATTATAGAGTCGACTTCAGGCGCTGCGCCAGGGAAGAGGGAGAAGTCTTTCTGAGCGAGTCTCTCCTTGGACCTGGCCGCTGCCTGTACCAGCTGAGAGGGCTGCATCGTGGGGGTGGGAGAGCTGCTGGCTTCCTTGTCCAAGGATGGAATTCAGAGTTGGTGATCTTGGAAAGTGGAAGGATCAGTACTGAACGTCCACCTCTTGGCACTCAGCCACGTGACCACAGGGGGTTGGAGAAAAGCCTGGGAAATTTTATGGGCCTGTTTAAGGATCTTTTTGTCCCCAGGGTCCTCAGCCTTCAGGTTGCTGCTTTGGGTCTCTACTCTCTCCTCGCTCTGGGCAGGAGGTGGGTGAAAGAGGGCTTGGCAAGTAGCATCAGAGGACAGTGTGGAAGGCTGCTTCCATGAGGAGACCTGCCTAGTGAAGGTTCTGGAGAGCAGCTTTGCCTGCATTAACCATTAGGGGATTCTTCTCCTTTCCAGCTCAGGGTCCCCAGACAAGGACGATTACAGAGATGATAGCAGCCTTGACTTACTGGGCTGCCACCAGCACTGGGCTAAGTCTTTATTCTTTGAACCTGCAAAATAGCTCTGGGAGCCCATTCCACAGAGGCTTCGGGAGTCATATCTACTTGCCCATGTTGACTCCATGGTTGGAATTCAGATCCATCCACTTTAAAAGCCCAGCCTCTTAACTCTGATGCTGAGTGACTGTGGAGTTTCTTCACCCTCTGGGATTCCTTGCAGCGCAGTGTTGTCTTGAAAGGCGCTTGGATTTCAGCACAGACACTCCAGCTGCAATTGAGAATCTGCACATTTTGAGGTGCAGTCCTCAATGGCCAGGTGGCAAGGGACCCGCGCTGCCCCCCCACCCAGGAGGTCAGCTCTAACAGCTCCTTCTCTCTCTCCTTGCCGCCCACCCCCCAACCTCCCCATAGGTATGGATTGATGCTGGGACCCAGATATTCTTCTCCTATGCCATCTGCCTGGGGGCCATGACCTCACTGGGGAGCTACAACAAGTACAAGTACAACTCGTACAGGCAAGTGATGTGCCGGCGGGCCTGGTGGACCTTAGAAATGATGATGATGTTTAAAGAAAAAAGAGAAGAAGTAGGGAGCGTGGCTTCCTTGTGTTGTGAATTAACTTGCTCCCTGACATATGTGTAACTTAGGGACTGTATGCTGCTGGGATGCCTGAACAGTGGTACCAGTTTTGTGTCTGGCTTCGCAATTTTTTCCATCCTGGGCTTCATGGCACAAGAGCAAGGGGTGGACATTGCTGATGTGGCTGAGTCAGGTATGGTGGTATTGGTGGCAGTGGTGGTGGGCACTGCCACCTAGTGTGTAAGACAAGTACTGCAGGCATGAAGCCAGACCCCAGGGGCTTTGGAGGGGGGGGGACGAGCCTGGTTTCCAAAATGGACCCCCCCCACCAAGATGTCCCCCAAGTACTGAAGAGTACAAAAGCTAAATTTTAAACACTTTCATTGCATTTTGGCCCAAGGGGCGGCAGAAACATGGGTTTGGTTAAGTTGGGGAACATTTAGCTACTTTTGCGTGGTCTTTCCCCCTTCCCCCTCCTTCCCAAGCAAACTGCTGGTTTCCAAAACAGAAACCACTTTCCTAACTCAGGCCCATGTCGGCCACCAGTCGGCATTCCATCACCACCTTCTCAGCTTTGGTTTCTGTATTTTGCACTTTGCTCCCAGCGCTCCCTCTAAGCAAACCCATTCATTCATTCCACTGATGTTTATTGATTGATTCAGTCTCTACTCTGTGTCAGGCACCACCGTAGGCTCGGGGTGGGAGGAGACATTGGGTGTGGCAGGACGCCCTCTGGGACAGTGACAGTGGGGGCGGGTTGTGGGGACACTGTCACCCTCTCGGGGTGTGGACCCTATCAGCAGAGGGCTCCTCCCCCGGACATAGGCAGTAAAGGAAAGACTCTTAGAATCACAGACTCTGCAAAGCCTGGGATCTTAGGCTTGATCCTGGAGCTCCAGCAGGATAGGTCTAGAATCTGAGAATTATGAGGTCTTCAGTGGCTAGAATCCTAGAGCCTCTCAAAACCACAGTATCTCAGGTGCCTGAATTCTAGGACTTGCTATGATGTGCTGAGTCCTGGACTTGCAGCTTTAAAATTGCAGTGGCTTAGACATGGGAGTGAGAACCTTAGGCTCCTCTTAATCTATCTTTCTGGCTTCTCTGCCCTTTTCCATTCTTGCCCGATTCGCTTGGAAGGCGGCCTTCAGGTGCTGGCAGTTTTATTTTACACACTTCACTCTGCTCTGCCCAACCTCCCATTTTCTCGTGACCCCTGTGGGGCCTCTCGGAGGCAGGTTGGGGTCCTGAGCTGAGATGCCGGCAGCCCCAAGGAGAGTATAATGTAAGGTTCTTACTCCAGGGACCACCACAGACCAAGGTCAGGTACAGCTGGAGTCCCTGCCAAGGTGTCACCCTTGCGCATAGGACCCTAGAGTTGGGGGTCAGTGTACCTCAGTGTTGTGCATTCAGATGTCTGCTTCGCAGATGAGACCAATGGCCTAAGAGCCTTGGGCTGGTCCGTGTCAGAGCGGGGGTCTCCAGGACAGGGCCCCTCTGACATGAGGGTGTCCCCACACTTGCCTCCTCACCCCACCCTGGATACATGTGACAACCATTGGCCCTTTCATGTGGGAATATGTCTGGGCTCCCCTGACTCCTCTGAGCCCCTGGGCTCTGCTTTCTTCCTCACTTGCAAAGATGCGCCAAGTTCCTTCCTTGTGTGCAAGACAACGTGGCAGGTCCACGCTTCGGCCTCATGCATTTCTCTACTGACCCTGGTTTGAAATCAGACCTTCAGATGTAGCTTTCCTCCCCTGAGAAGCCCCCAAAGACAGGCCTGAGACTGAGGACACAGAAAGTAATCCCAGAAATATTCACACCCACCTGTGGGTTGGCAGAGTGGTCAAGGGAGACAATATACTCCTCTTTCGCAGATGGCTTTTTTTCAGTCAAGGGCTTGCAAACCGATTCTGATGGATTGGGAATCGCCAGCAGCACGGAGTGAACTTGGTGGTGGGAGATATTTATCCATGTGTAAGACAGCTCTCTGTGGACAGCTAGGTATTTTTATGTGGACGTATACATTGTCAACCTAAGTTGTTTTCTTCCTCCCGCCCACCTCAAAGACCTTGGCAGTTATTCCCCACGGTGATGTCTGAGCAGCCGACACATCAAGGGTGATTATTTCTCTAATAAGCTTTTAACAAGCACCATATTGAGTCAAGTGCGTTTCAACAAGATCATTATTTAGCTGAATGGAGTGCAAATGAAATGTAGAGAGGCGCGTTCTCTGCTAACAGAGGCATGTGGAGAGCTCGGAGCGGCCGGCCGCGTTTCCATGGACTTCTCTCTAGAGTTCACTATATGCTTTTAGACAAAGGTGCTCCTACCCTCTCCCAGAGGCTCGCTTGAGAAAGGCAAAACTGAAATACAGAAACGAGTGCATTGAGAATCTTCACAGGCCCTGGAGGCGTGGGGGCCCCATTTTACATCTGTCTCAAAGTCGGCTGGACTTGGCTCCTCACGCAGAGCGGACATGTTGGGAGCCTGGGGACCCAGCCTAGGTAGAAGCGTGGTTTCCTAGTCTGACTTGGGCTTTGGGGTTAACACGAGCACCTCTCTCACCGCTTCATGGGTGCCACTCAAGGACTAGAAAACTAGCTCGGCCATGGTCAGGTTTCCCCAGGTCGGGTGGACTCTGGATGATAAAATGACTCGCCCTTGACCACTATGTGTGTGTTTAATGCCGTGTGATGTGATTTCTGGCTCCAATTTATTTCAAAGTTTTTTTTTCCCCCATTCTTAAACCATTCATTTGCTTCCGATATCTGCTTTAAATACCTTGCCTCCAGCCCTTTTTATTTCACATTTCTTGACCTTTTTTGTTTGTTTGTGTGTAGTTTTGGATTTTAATTTTTCAGCTCAGGCCTTCGAGGCCTCCTGTCTCTTGGACCCACAGGCCTCAGTTACAGCTCAGTTCCTCCCCCTGGCATCTTCTCCCAGGTTGGCTGGAGACAGGGGGAGACATTTCTCCACGTCTTCAGAATGTGTCTAGTCAGAAAGGCAAGCCCTGAGCTGATGCGGCTCCTGTCTCCCAAGCCCTGCCGCGAGATTCTGTCAGAGTCCCCTCTTTGGAAACCAGAAAGCCATTTATAGGGAAATGGTGTCAGCACCTGAGAATCTGAACATGTGAAGGTTCCTTGGGAGTCATTTATGGTAACCTGCCCCTCAGTTCTCAGGTGGGGAAACTGAGGCCCTGAGCAGGCCTGTGGTGATGTAAAGAACGGATGGAGGAGACAGTGGGATGAGCCCTTGAATGCAGGCCAGAATGTCCCGGGCCTGGCGGCTTTCCCCGCGCACTCCTTCAGCTTTGGGCCTTGGCCCTGACGTTGCTCAGGGGGGTGCACAGAGGCACCCCTGAAGAGATATTTGCCTTGTGGAGCATGATTCTTTATTTTCTTTCCACTCGTGCGGTGTTTTAGTAGAAACCTTTTCTTTGCAAATGGGGAGTTAGTAGTCAGCTAACCAGGGCGTTCCCCCGGCTTCCTTCCAGCAAGTGTTGGCACGGTGGCTCTGGTTTGAGGCGGGGGATGCTCCTTTTCCAAACCGGCAGACTGAGTCCAGGCTCAGTAGTTCCACTGCCCACCCCAAATAACCAGTGACCGTCTGGATTCTGGTGTGTGAGGAGGCCACTTGTGCTGCTGCTTAGGAGACAGATGCTAAAACGGGGCCCCACCTGAGCCCCCTGCGCATCCCACCCAAAAGTGAAGCGGGCCTGATCTCTCTTCCCAGGCAGGAATTCAGGCCGGGCTCCTCCCTGCATTTTGGGTTTGGGAGACCCGCCTTAGGCCCACGTGTCTTTGTGTGAGTTCAGTGCTCTGGGTGCTCAGCCGCTAATGTGTCTCCTCGCTCTGTCCCTCCCCGTCTTCTCTTCCCGTTAGGTCCTGGCCTGGCCTTCATTGCCTACCCAAAAGCTGTGACGATGATGCCGCTGCCCACGTTTTGGTCCATTCTTTTTTTTATTATGCTTCTCTTGCTTGGACTGGATAGCCAGGTATGTACAGATCAAGGGGCTGGCACGGGCCTTGGGGATCCTGGTTCTGGAAAAGCCTCCTTCTTTGTGCATGGCGTGAGGATGACCTTCCCATCCTAACATGAGCCTTGCAACCACTTATCCTCTGGGACACCGGAAGTGGGAGAAAGGCCCGGGGCAGCGGGGGCAGACAGCAGCCCCAAAGCGCGAGTCTTTGACCTCCGCAAGGAGAAGGGACAACTGAGGGCTGTGGTTAAAACAAAGCCAAGGGTGGGAAATAGAAGGGCAAGGCCAAAAAAGAAATGCTGCGCCCCTGTGGAGCTGCTGGGCAGGGGCCCAGGAGTGACGCCGGCATATGGGCCTTTAGGGGAAGGGACCAACATTTCTGCTTAAGGCACAAGGTGGTCCCAGGCTGGGCCAGCATAGAGGAGCAAGGGAAACCTGGAGCACACCCATCTGTGCTTGCTGGAGCACAGGAGCCAGACAACTTGTCCCCACAGTGAAACCCTGATCTTCCAGGGCTTCCTAAACAGCTAAGCACTGGGGAGCCTCCCTCAAACTCACCCTGGCCTCTGGCCATCCAGGCTTCAGCCCTCCTGAGGCAGGACTCCACCGTGGATATTTCTGGTACTTCCTAACCCCCACATCCCATCCTCTCCAAGGCTCAGGCCTCCACCTGGTGCTCAGTGAGAGGCTGCATCTGCCTTTGGGATAAAACAATTCTAAGCCTCTTTGTGATATTGGGCATGTTTCCTTCCCCCTCTGAATCTCAGTTTCCTCATCTGGTAAATGTGTATGATTCTATCTTCATTGCCTTTTGTGATGCACCAGGTACAGTGCCTGGTACAGAGCAGTCAGTGGTACTCGCAGGATGAATAGTGTGACCTCTTGGTCACCTGTCCCTGGAGATACGTATATTTTCATTGGGGTCCTCTCAAGATGACAGTTTCAAGTACAGGTGTGACTGCGGAAGTAGGGAGTTGAGGTGTGCAGGGCAGGCTGGTCCTGTTCCCCGGGGTAGTTAGTAGAGCCTTGAATGTGGTTTCTACCACCCAAGGTCAGTCATTGAAAGCAGGCATTTTACAGCCTCATGTGTGGCCTGGGGTCTGGCTGCCTCACAGAGAGTCACTGGTCATCTGAGACCCAGTGAAAAGCGGGGGCCTGCGACCAGTCCAGGAGTGGGCTTTACTGCTGCTGCCCCCGGGGCAAAGCCAGCTCCCAGGGCGGCCCCTGGGAGCTCAGAACCAAAGTCTCAGATGGTCAGGCAGAGCAGAGGAGGTGGTCCACCAGCAAGGTCAAGAACAGAGCGAAGGATCTGTCAGACAGGGGAGCAAGATTAGCAGAGAAGACAACGAAAATATTTGGGGGATTGAAAACAAAATGCTTCCACAGTTGTTGATAGGCTTGAGCTGTGTAAACAGCAGGAGGACTCCATTAATCATTCCTATTTAATGAGTTTGGCCTTTGGAGACCCCAAACAAATGGCTTTTATAACTTCTTCCAGACCTCTAAGTGAAAGCAAAAAACAAAACCAGAGAGAGGTTAATAAATAATGAAATCTTACATCTCCATAGGCCCACAATAGGCCTTTGAGGCTGTGGAATCCACTTCCTGAGCGAGCGTAGGTGGTTTTATTCATTAGATTTTCTCCCTGGGAGGCAGGTGGGGCCAGCCAAGGCTGGGCACCTGTGAGCCCGGCCCCATGGTGGCCAAGGCACTTAGGGAACCTCAGGAGCTCCCAAAGCCAGCTTCAGAGGGGACGGTTCTCTTCCCACTGGAGAGCACGGAACTCTGCTCAGAGCCCCTAACTGGCGTACCTGTTGATCCACCAACAAGACTTGGTGGGGTTGTGCCTGGAACTGGTTGGGGCATGGTATCTCAGGTTCAATGGCATAGACTGGGATCTGTCCTTTGCACTATGTGTGGTGTGAACCTGGGGTGCGTGGCGGAAGGTTTTGCCAATGCTGGTGACCACCTCACACACCACCAGCACTGTGACAGGGTCAGAGTGCCGTCCTCCAAGGTGTTCACATGGGCCCGGCTTCATGCCATGCTGTTTATGTGAGTGTGTGTGTTTGTGGTGAAATGCACAGAACATAAGATTGACTGTCTTTACCATTTTTCAGCATTTAGTTCAGTACATTTGCATGGTTTTGTAACCGTCACCACCATCCACCTCCAGAATTTTTCATCTCCCCGAATTGAAACTCTGCCCACTAAACACTAACTCCCCACTCCCCCTCCCCCAGCCTGGCTTTTCTCTGCATTAGCTCCTTAATCTGCACAAGGTCCAATGCCTGAAAAACAGGTTTAGAGAGATGAGGACTCCCGTGGCTGAGGCCCTGGACACCTGGGCAAGGAGTGCGCCCATGGCTTGCCTGCCCCTGGGGCTGCCTGTTCCCAGACCTGCTAGTTTGTCCCCCTTGCTTTACCTCTGAGTTACCGCAAAATTGCTTCCTCCTGTGGAAGTGCAGAGACCCCCACAGTCAACCTGAGACGGGGTCTCTCGCCGATGGAGGAGCTTGACCCTTGCTCATTACAAAAAAACGTGCTCCCGAAATTTGTAGCGTTGGCGGGGGTGGGGGCACTCTCTGGTTTAGGAGCCATTGTACTGCTGAGCGTTTCCTGGTGAGATGGAGTAGGGATGTCACTTGCACGGAGGCAGCTGCCCGTACATGTCCAGCCCGCCTGAGGCGGACACTGTTTGTGAGCAAACATGACAAGAAGGGAGCTGGAGCCCCTCTCCCAGGAGCTCACCCATCCCAGCCCCCTGATGTGGGTTAAGGTTAATCATCCAATTGCCAATTCACTCTTAATTATTACCGGAAAAGGGATCAGGCCCGGAGCGGGTCTGTCCAAGGCCCACCAGTAGTGTGTGGGTTCTTGACTTCGTGCAGGAAAGATTTCACAACACAAATTAGGGTGATTTTGAGAGGACATGTATTAAAGTTGGGGATGGTGAAACAAGGAAGGGGGTAGGGCAGAAGAAGCAACAAGAGAGAGACCAGGCGGGGCTGCTTCGGCTCACTGAGGAGTCAGGGAAAAGGGGGCCTTGGAGACAGGTTCAGGGGGTAAGCCCGGGATGAGCTGCTGCTGCCACTTGCTCCCCTGGTTGCAAGTCTTGTGGGGTCCCTTAGACTTCAGGAGATGGCACGCCTGTGGGAGAGGAAGAGGGGGAAGGGAAAGGGACAGGCAGGGGTTCTTGGGAAGCACCCCAGATCCTCGTCTTGAGGGTTTTAAAGGCTAGGAGTTTAGGGAGGTCTTAGGGGAGGACCTCAATAGCATACTTATCAGCTCCCCCAGGTGTGCCCTTTTAGGGCTGTGGTCTCCGCTGATTGGCCAGCGCCAGGGCAGGGAGTCTAAATCTCATGATCTCATGACCAGTGATATGCCAGAGGAGGAAAGGCCACCCTGAGGTAAGGTCTGGCACCAGTTTTGCCTGTTGCTAGGCGCCTGGGGCTTTCTGCCCTGGTGACCTCCAGTATCTGGTTGTAAATTGCTTGGCCAGTTTGTTCAGCTCTCTGTCTCAGATTCCCCATTCCACTTGCCAAAGAATTTTCGTAGCTTCTAACTAACCTGCCTCATAATGAGTTAATATCTGTCTCAGTATCTGCCTGCTAAGTAAAGCCTTCCCATTTTTCAGGGGGAGAAACTGAGGCTTGGGGAAGTCAGGGCCACATAGCTGTTAAGTGACGCAGGTCTGAAGAGGCTGATGGAGTGGGAGCGAGAGGGTGGTGCTCGCTGGAGAGGCAGATAACTTGGCAGTGAGGGGCTCGTGCAGTCTTGGCCCCAGTCTCACAGGCTCACGATGACACTGGATCTTAGTGTCTGTAATTGCCCCATCTTCAAAAAAGAACAAACCTTTGTTTTTAAACTCCTTTTGAAGCTTAACACTTGAGCTGCAGGTTGGCTATAATTCAGTGGCAATTTAGGTCCAAAACCCCTTTCACCTACACATCAGTTAGAAATCAAAACATCAGTCTCTCGGATTTGGGTGTCTTTCAAGAGCCTCTTGGTCATCTTTACCCTGAATCCCTAGCAACAAAGAGTCATCTCTCCTGCCCCTTTTAGCACATGAAAGGATCTGCTCCTTGTTTGTATTCCTTGATCCTCCTGTGATGCGTCCCAGAGGAATGAGTGGTTGGACTTGTGTTGTAGGAATGCTGAGGGAAGATTCCTTCCCAAAAGCCACTCCCAGATGAAAGAACGGAACAGAAGGGTGGGGGTTTTAGCTTTTCAACTTCTAAAGGAGTCAGAGGGGCCTCAGGGGATGTGCTATTTGCTGGCAGGGCAATTTGTGTGTAGCCGTTCAAATGTAACACGAGTCTGTGAGTCCTTTAATCCTGAAGTTTTACTTTGTGCACATGCGCCTAAAGACAAATGTAGGGGAAGAGTCCATGCCCAGGTCAACAGTTGCAGAGGCTGGAAGCCGTCTGTTGGGTACTGGTTAGATCTATGACGATATGTGTCCATAGGATGAAGTTTTGTGCTGCCATTTAAAAGATGAGGCAGCTCTCCATGTAATGATATGGAAGTTTCCAAGCTAAATTGTTAGGTGCACAGATGGGAAGATTTAGAAAGACTGGGAGTCATTCTAGAACATTACCTCATGTTTGGGAGACCAGGGATGGACTCCCAGAGTCCATGAGTCCTGGAGTCACGGCTTTGTTGAGCTTCACACACAGGCATGTGGGTGTGAACGCAAGCACACAACATTTTCTTGTGGGCCCATGAGCCCCAAAGAGTTTAAAACCACCACGTGAATCCAATAGGGAAACTGAGGCCCAGACTTGCCTTGGATTACCCACCCATTCATCCTGTGTCTGTTGAGCAACCACATGTGCTTGGCCCAGCTGGGCACTCGAGGCCTTGAAATGAGGGGCCACCGCTCATGGATTCAGAGAGGACCAAGACCAAAGTGAGAGGGGGTTGTCTTGCCAACCACACAAGCTGATGCATGTGCTAGGGCAGAGGTCAGCACGGTCTTCAGAGAAGCAGTCATTCTTGAGCTGGGTTTGAGTGGTGAGGGAAAGGCATTCTGGTGGCTGGATGAGGCTCAGCAGAGGTGTGAGCTGTGCAGTATGGGGAGAACAGCACAGGCTACTGACCTGGCCAGCAGGCCAAGCCCACAAGACTGGGTTCTCATGTTTGGACTTGACCTTCCAGGCTGACTGCGCGTGCCAGGCTCCTCTCTCTGAGCAGAGGGGAGGTGCTGGGCATCTGCCACTCAAACTGCTCTCTTTTCCCCTCCAGTTTGTTGAAGTTGAAGGACAGATCACGTCCTTGGTTGATCTCTACCCGTCCTTCCTAAGGAAGGGTTTCCGTCGGGAAATCTTCATCGCCTTGATATGTAGCATTAGCTACCTGCTGGGGCTGACGATGGTGACGGAGGTAGGTGGCTCTCTTACCTAGCACAAGGGGCCTCCCTTTATTAGGGCCCTTGGTACCCTAAATATGTGTCTCAGAGCAGTTCAAGGCCATTACCACCCCCCTGGTCCCCTCAGCAGCTAGATGAGAGGACCTGGGTAGGTAACCTCCTAGTCGCACTCAATTCGAAGGTCCTGCCCTGCCCAGGGGACTCAGCCTACACTCTAGAAAGGAACCCAGCAGTTGACCCAAACTCCCCCCGACCCCTTTTCCTGTTACCATGGCATCTTTCCCCCCGCCTCCAATCCTGGGAGGCCTGGGGGAAGAGTGCTTCAGCTAAAGGCCATCTTAACAGCCGCTCTGTTCCCCCAGGACTGTGTGGCCTGGAGGGAAGGTGGTTCTCTAGGGTAAACACTGTAGGCAGTGCCAAGGCTAGGAGTGTGCTCTGGTCAGTGAGTAAGCAGGGGCCAGAAGAAGGTTCACTTAAAATGATAAAGAAGCAAGAGACGAAAGGAGCAAGAGTGTCTAAGACAGTAGTTGACCAACATGCCTAGCAACAGGGGGGCCAGAGAAGAAAAGATTCTTGTGATAACTAACGTAGGCATGTGAGCATAGCATGGGCCCAGGGCATGCTCTCTCCTGTATGTCTCACTACCCGCCTCCCATATTCTCCACCAAAGGGTTGCAATTAACCCCCAAACTCGGTTCAGGGTTTTCCATCACCACTTTTCCTTACAGGAGGTAAAAATGTCTATGTTTTTCTGGAAGTGTCTATAAGAAAACCCCCCTCCACAAAAGGTAGATCACAGGTCCACATACTGAGCTGCTGGATGTTGCTGAGGTCTTCTGTGTTAGCCATGGCCAGTTTTAAGTCCCTTCTCTGGAAGCAGGCTTCAGTGAACTTGTCATTTTTTGCTAAGGAAGACATGTTGCTTTGCTTTCTTTTTTTTTCTCTCTCTGTGTGTATGTGTAATGAGTCAAACATGAAGTGAAGTATCTTTTCACAGAGGTATCTGGTTGTCATGGCTTTTGCCAATTCTCCTTTTGAGTTTTATATTTTCTTATTGCTATGCCAGAGCTCTTCATATATTGAAGGAATTAGATACCAAATAACAAATCAAACATCTTTGTTTTTTTATTCACAGGGTGGCATGTATGTGTTTCAACTCTTTGACTACTATGCAGCTAGCGGCGTATGCCTTTTGTGGGTTGCATTCTTTGAATGTTTTGTTGTTGCCTGGATATATGGTAAGTACCAATTTTTGCACATTTTTTTCTTAAGTCTCTCCTTTGAGCCTATTTAGAAGTTTCAGAAATATAATTCTAAGGGGAATTTATTGAGTTAAACACAAAGGTCTTCCCTACCTGAACTTTTCATTTGAAGCCTGCCCCTTTCCTCCACAAACAATGGAGGAAAGTGCGTCGTGGCCACACTGCAGATTCTCCCTGTGCTAAAGGTGCCGGGCGTGGCTGTGTTTTCAGGAACACATAACTTGGCTGTACAGGGCTCTCCCTATGAGGAACTACTCTAGGGTCCAGAGAGGGTCCGTTCGGCCCCCTTCAGACCTTGGGATTGGTCACACCAGGTGTTGGGGAGGGTATGCCTAAGGCGGCCAAGAACATACAGGGTGCCCAGTTACTGTTTATTTTAGATAAACATACGCCACACTGGGGTCTATGTGGTGTAAGAGGCAAGGATGTGGATCAGGCCCCAGAGACCCCTCATGGCTCTTGAGCCCTTGCTCTGTTGTTCCTAGGGCAGATGCTGGCACTGGACACCATGTCACCATCTGTCTACCTTTGTCTCTTGCAGGCAGTGATAACTTGTATGATGGTATTGAAGACATGATCGGCTATCGGCCTGGGCCATGGATGAAGTACAGCTGGGCCGTGGTCACTCCAGTTCTCTGTGTTGTGAGTTTCCTCTTGCCTGGTTGTGAGCAGTAGGGCAGAGGCAAAGCATTCTCAAAGAGGAAGGTGTATCAGGGCATGGGAGAAATTCAGGGGACCCACGCTAGAGCGTGTAACTTTTCCCCAAACCCTTCCAGAGCCTGTGAGCCCACTTTCACTCGCTGATTAAGTTAATGAGCCACTGGGGTGTCCAAAGGAGAGGTCACAGACATTGGAAATGTGGTGTTTTCATGGCAGGGTGGGGGCTGTGACTAGAAGGGACTTCTCAGCAGGGAGAAGCTCTGGGCTCTCCCAAGAACAAGGAAGCTGCGTCCCAGCCTAGGATCCACGGGCACTGAGGTGCCACATTCCTCTTTCTACCAGGGATCCCCCAACCCTGCCACCTTGGAATGTGGCCTTGGAGTATGCCTGGGCACCCTGCCTGCTTCCAGCCTCACTCAGAGGCTCCGGCCAAAGGGAAATCCCCTATAGTAAAAGCTGCTTTCCTGTCGGCGTTTGAAACCCGTTGTGAGCTTTGGCACTAATGGCAGGGGAACACATGTGCTCTGCCGTGTCCGCTCACACCGTGGGAGGCACAGATGGCGGACATGTTCCTTGAATTCAGGGGCCAGAGGCTGAAGAATAAATGCCCCTCCCCCCGACAGTGACCTCTGCTCCCCAAGCAGAGTAAGTCAACATTGCCATTAACTCACTGTGTAACTTCAGGGCCACCACCTCTCCAGTAGTAAAATAAGGAGATGCTGACATGGGACATGAGTAGCAGCCGACAGCCTTAGGTTGTTACTGTTATTATTTAATGTGGGTGTGGCCTTTCCATCTGAGATGCTTATTTTCCCCATTAAAAATAGGTAAACTGCAGCCACCAGAAACCACAGCAATTGGCAGGTCTATCTTTAGAGAGGGATTTTATTAGGTCCAAAGCCCACGCTCTTGTTCTCACTGAGCGTCTGTCTGTGTGCCCCTCTCCTCAGCACTCGGACCATCAGCCCCTTCCTTTCTCCCTCCCTGGGGAGTTGCACAGATCAGAGATCGGCCTCATTTAAAGTGGGAGGATGAAGTCACCCTAGTAGGAAGAGGAATGTACAGGCAGGTGCAAAGCTTCTTCGTGGGGGGAGAGCCCAGAGCAGCCACCACCTGGTGCTCTCCCTGTCTGTGCAACAGCCCCCGACAGAAGGGCAGAAACAACAACAGAGCCTGGCATACAGCAGGTGCCCAACGTCGGGCACCTGCAGCCTAATGCTTTCTCCCTTTCTCCCTTCCCCTGTCGTCAATTCTAACGTAGATGGATTTGTTTTCCCATCAAACCCATTATTAGATCCTGAGGATGTCACACATGGTGGGTCATCCAAGACAACCTGGGTTATGTTGTCTTTTTTGTTTTTTAAAGGTTTTATTTTTACAGAGAAGGGAAGAGAGGGAGAGAAGTATCAATGTGTGGTTGCCTCTTGTGCGCCCCTGCTGGGGACCTGGCCCACAACCCAGGCATGTGCCCTGACTGGGAATCGAACCTGTGACCCTTTGGTTCTCAGGCCAGCGCACAATCCACTGAGCCACACCTGCCAGAGCTGAGATGTTGTCATTCTTATCAGAGCAGGAGAGTTGGGCTCTCCCAGCCCAGCTGTATGTGGGAAAACGAGTCTTTGCACAGGCTTGGGAGCTCCAAGCTGACCCCACCTCATCCCACCCCTCTGTTCATGGATGCTGATGGCCGTTGGCCAGTTTCGTGGGCTCAAGGCTGGGCTGTGGACACCCAGCAGGGCAAAGGCCCAGGCCCTACCTTGTCCTGGGAGGCTGGGCTTGGGACGCAGAGATGGAGATGAGAGGGGAAGGGAGGGAAGGCAGCTAGCATTTGTTGTGTGCCTGCTGTGGACACCTGGAACTGCAACAAGTGTTGGGAACAAGACACATATCCCTGCCCCCACTGACTCAGGTTGGGTGGATGTGATCTGTGCTGAAGAAATCACTGTAACCACAAGCTTTCTGAGTGGGAACATCTGGGCAGGGCCTGGGCAGTGAGGCAGGACCATTGGAGCTGTTAGGAGGAGGAGGTTAGGGAAAAAGTGGAGCACTTTGAGGGAACACCCTGGGCTAAGGCCCTGGGGCGAGGGGCTGAGGGGCCGGGAGGGGTTCAGGATAACTGGAGCACAGACCAGGAGGGAGGGGAAGGGGCACAACGCCTCGTGACACTCGGGCCAGGATGAGAGCTGGGACTGTGTCCCGAAGGCACTGGGGAACCACAGAGGGTTTTGAGCAGAGAAGTGACTTGGTCAGGTTTGCCCTGGGGGAGGTCCTTATGCTGCAGAGTGCAGAAGGGTGTGAAGCACCTTGGGCAGGGCCTTCCCTGGTCCCAGAAGCCACCAACCCCCGGTGCCCAGGACCCCCCTGACTACCCCCGTCTCTCCACAGGGATGTTTCATCTTTTCTCTCGTCAAGTACGTACCCCTGACCTACAACAAAGTGTATGTGTACCCGACCTGGGCCATTGGGCTGGGCTGGAGCCTGGCTCTGTCCTCCATGGTGTGTGTCCCCTTGGTTATGGTCATCCGCCTCTGCCAGACAGAAGGGCCGTTCCTCGTGGTGAGTGCTCAGGGCCCTGGGCTGGTCTGAGGGGGTGGCGGGGCGGGGAGGCCGGAGCCCCGCCTGCTGTCGGTTTGCGGGGGGAGCTTGGGCATGTTACTTGCCAGAGTCCTCCACCCCTACCTGCCCCAGGGGTGGTTGACACTGCAGGCAAGAGAGGGCGTCCTGGAAATGGGGACAAAGCACAGGTCCGCAGGGCAGAAGGCCCTGGGGCGGCACTCGGAGCCGGGCTGGCTCAGGGGGCATTTGCCAAGCAGAGAACCGGGGCTGGAGGGGTGTGGGGTGTGGCGCACGGAGGTGTGACAACACCTGGGCAGCAGCAACATGTTCTGGAGAGCGAGCCCTGGAGAGGTGATGGCAGCTTTGGTTGCCAGGCTAAGAGCTAGGACTCTTCCTGGGAAACGGAGGGGCTGCTGTTTCTGGGACAGGAGACCAGGAGCCAGGGAGGAAGCCTGAGCCCCACCCTGGGGCCAAATTGCGGATGGGCCCAACCAGCTGGTGTCCCCTCCCCAGGCCTGGGTCCTATCTGCAGCCCGACCCTCTGAAGCCACCTCTGTCCCAGACAGAGCCTCCAGCTATCAGCTTCCAGGCCTTGGTGCCTGCCAGTCCCCTCCCCGGAGGCCTCCTCCCCGCTGCCCACCTCCTCTCAGAAATTCCTCTGACAATACTGTAGATTCCAGGCCGGCCAAGCTGGGGCTCTTTCCAAGAAATCCTTTTCTTAGAATCTCGTTTAACCTTTGGGCTTGGGCGGGCTCCAGGATTGCACTGTTTTTGTTCTAGTCTGTTTTTTATTGTTATTCTCTTAAAAATCTGGAGCCAGGATGTCCTGGGGCCCCGGCTCCTCCTTGGGCTGGGTGGGTTTCCTTGTGGGCAAGGGAATGGCCCGGAGGTGGTGTTGGTGGGGGAGTGGAGAGGCCAGGCAGAAAGGGGCTTCCCAGGCAGAGGAAGCAGGCAGGGGGGTGCCCGGGAGGCAAGCCTGAAGCTCTCTCTGAGCCAGCGCGCTGGGGGGTGTGCCTGCAGCACTGGGCTTGAGGTGTTTCCTCCGAGCACGCAGGGAAGGACCCCAGTACTTAGCCAGAATGCCACATGGCCCTATCTTTTGTTAAAATAGTGAAATATTGAGCCTGGGGACACGCAAGCAATAGTTACTGCCCTGAGTCCCTCCGGTATCCCCCTACAGTATACCATATACTCTATGTCAACCCAGTCCCTCCTCAGGAATTTCCAGAATGTCCCTACCATCCAGAAACTAAAGGGTTACTTGGATACATAGCCAAGGGCCTTGGATGCCTGCTCTGATTGGTCAGTGCCCACAGCCATTACACAGTTCAACTAGGGGGCTGGACACAAAGACACCCAACAGGTCATTAACGTGTGTCCCTTCAAAGTTTAATTTTCAAACAGTATTCCAGCTCCAGTGGAGAGGTTTGGTCAGAGTGGGGTTGGTGTGGGGGGGGGGCAGGAAGGGGTGGCTGAGGAATCCACTCTACCCCAAGCCTTTGCTCCTTCCTTACCTACAAACCTAAGCCCCTCCGCTGAAGGCGGCCGAACTGCCAGCTCTGTGTCTTTGCTGTGTGCCCCTGGAGCTCCCGCCCACACAGTCGCACAGGTAGCCGCCCAGCCATGAATGCCTGTCGGAGGCAGGGTCTACTAATGCCAGTCTCAATCCTGGGAAGAGTCCAGTTGTTACATACAGGGCGCCCAGGTGGCTGATCACCAGTTTGCCTCCTGTCCCACCTGCTGTGTGCGTATCGTACAGGTGTGCGGACAGGCGGAGCGATGGAAGGGGGCCAGGATGCCCTTCCTGCTGGCATCCCGCCGCGCGCCCTTTACCTGGGGTCTCCAGCCAGTCTTCTGGGGACCAGGCGGGCAGGCCCGGGAGTGACGTGCTCAGCTCTGGCCAGTAGTTTCCAAGGGGACATGGGGCCCGCCGTGGCCAGATCTTGTAATTTTTAAAAAGAAGATGGAAATCTGGATTTTCAAATGCAATAGTGTAGCTTTTAGTAAGCAGCTCTGAAAATTTCTAATATATCTAAACCAAATGCCTAGACAGAGAACTTTATAACTTCTTTCTGTTAAAATTTCTGAGTGGACACTTGACAGAGGTGGGCGGGGAGGCAGGAGCCCTGAGTTCCTGTCCCAGCTCTGCCACTGGTTTGTCCTTGGGGGGGGCTCTTTTCCTCACTGATTCCACGAGCGGGCAACCAGCTGCGAGGATGAAGGGCCCCTAGGAGCCCCTTAAGGCACCTTCTTTATTTGCCAGTAGATGAAATGGGAGGTCCTGAGAGGGTAGTGTTTATGAAAGGCCAAACAGCGCCCTGGCAGGACCCAGACGGGGTGCATGGCCACGTGGAAGGGAACCAGGCTGCCTGACTTGCCGCCCTCTCCTGTCCCTTCCTTCTCCAGAGACTCAAGTATCTGCTGACTCCGAGGGAACCCAACCACTGGGCCGTGGAGCGAGAGGGGGCCACACCCTACAGCTCCCGCTCGACCATGAATGGCGCTCTCATGAAACCGACCCACATCATCGTGGAGACCATGATGTGAGCTCTCTCGGGCCGACGGGCTGCTTTCCTGCTGTTTACTAACATTAGATTCTCATAGGACCAGGTTTACAGAGCTTTATATTTGCACTAGGATTTTTTTTAATTGTCACAGAAAATATTACTGTGTGTGTGTGTGCACACGCGTGTGTGGTGTCGTGTGTATGTGTATTTTGTTTCGATTTGGGGCTATTTTGTACAAAAAAAAAAAAAAAAAAGCCCCGTGGGCAGAAGTCCGGGGCAAGGCAGAGCTTTCATACTGAATTAGATGTATTTTATGGGGACTGGTAAAATTTTCTTTGTATTTTTTTTTTACATATAATTATATATACACTTAGAGATTGTCATATACTTTTACCACTTGAATTGATCTTCTTGCCAGCAATAGATCTCATTTTCAAAAGCAATTCTTCGGTGCTTATGTAGCTGGCAGAAAGTTCTGCCCCAAAAAACGCAGGGTGGAATTTTCCGGGGACAGCAGACCCACTTTAAAGGTGCAGTACCTCCCAAACCTGGTTCAAGCAGGAGCAGCCAGTGGGGAGAGGGCACTACCCGCTGGCAGGCCCAGACCCATCAGGGCTGGGGAAAGGGCTGAGAGGGGACATCTCATTACGCTTGTCGTGGCCAAGAAGAGAGATGCCTGACTAACGAGCCCACCCCTCAAATAAAGGCACTGAGTTAAAGCCGACAGGTGAGGCCCTATGGCAAAAACCTGATTCTAAGAGTGGTAGAAACCGTTGCGCCAAGAACAAAATCCCACCTTTTACTTAGAGGTCAGTGGTGGGTGGTCAGAGGGACTGTCAGAGCCAGTCGCCAAGATGGGCGGTGAGGATGGGGCTCGGCGTTCAGGAGAACACTTGGGGGGCTGACCGCTCCACCGTCATGCTTCCCGGGGCGTCCCAGGTAGAGACGGAGGCTGGCCCGACAGGAGCCGGCAGTCTTGGCCCAGCCTCACACGCTGGGTCTCTTGCATCTCAGTGGGGTCATTCCCCTTCTCTTGAAGCTGCCTGTAGGAGGGAAGCAGCATGTATTTGGTGAGGGACGAGGGGTGAGTGAGTGGACCAAAGGATGTGGGCCCCAGGTCTTGGGGGCCTGGCGTTGGGAAAGGGTGCTTTTTCTCCCCCTCATCTCTCCACCCTCATCTCCCAGGGGCTGGGAAACTCCTGACAAGCTCTTGCTGAAGATCCCAGTCCAGGGCCTCGCTGGCTCCTCACAGGGAGAACCAAGAGCGTCTTGGGAGGCTCACTGGATAGTCGAACCCAGTGACGTGCCCCTCAAACTCTCCTCCCAGTTCAGTCACAAGTGCAACTCTTGGTAGACCTGGGAGATATGAGTCCTCATTTCACAGCCCCTGCAGTAGCTGGTGTCAGATATGCACTCTCCGGGGGCCGAGGGGAGGCCGTGAGGGTGTGTTTTTTAGGAAGTTGGGGTTCAGGGGGCTGGCACCCCAGAACTGGCTCAACCAAGCGCAGCATCCTCTCTGAACCAGAAGCGAAGGTACTCTACCTTTAACATCCCGAGCGTGGACACACCTCCACCCTGGCCCCCATTTGGACCTAAACTGTGCCATTTAAAGTGACTTCCAAGTTCAGACTCTAAACTGAAATGTCACAAAGGGCAGTGACTGCCTGTGGGGTGGGTGGGTGAAGCGTGAAGTCCACCTCAGGCTTTCAGAGCAGGGGCTCTCTGAATCCTGGAAACCCCCTCCCCCAAATTTGGGAGAAGGAGGAGCCTTTGGTGTCCCCCTCCCAAGGGGCAGAGGCGATTCTGAACCTTCTGAACCTCTTGTCTTCGGTAAACTTTTATATTTCTCTCTTTCCAAAGCATATACTCTGCCAAACAACACCTATTCCAAACCGTTCACAGTTCTAATGTGTTCCTGTTTTCCTATGTATTTATGGTTGCCTCTGTGTCTGATTTGATTTTATTGTTTGTTTTTTCCCTTAATTTTTACTGAGTAGCAATGTGACCCCTTTTCCTCCGTCTTATGGAATTGTATGCAGTAAACTAACCACTGTCAGCAGTTGGGGGCAGGTGATGTGCAGGAGCGAGGGGGGCTTGGCACGCTGTGGCTGCCTGGGCATCTGCGGTCATTTCAGGCTATATCCATCTCCCCTCTGGGGCTCAGACCCCCAGGGAAAGGTCACCCCAGGGTGGCAGGCAAATTGCACCATGCTGGACGTGGCCCGAAGAAGGCCTCTTATAAGATTCCCAGACCAAATTCTAGACCAAAGACACATGCAGACCAAGTCCCCAGGTCCCACCTGGTTGGAAGGTCAGCCACTGTCCCCAGGCCCATTCCTCAGCAGTCTCCCCGGGCACCTGTCTCCAATTGTAACCCTCATATCTAATCCCCTAGCTCTGGTGTATCCGCAGAACTTGGCTCTATGAGTACAGTGTGTAATGATGCGTGACTTTCATGTCTCCACATAAAGGAAACTGTCATTGGCGCTCGTGACTTGGGTCGGCCTGTCTCTGGAGAAGGGGCAGCCCTCCGCCCCCTCTCTGCCTGGGATGGGTCAGAAATTCTGATACCTGCATGTAGTCCAGCCAGCCAGACCTGGAAGGGATGCGAGGGAGGTGTTTAAAGAATTTTTTTAGGGTGCAGAAATGGGTAAGGGCCCCAGGATAAATCTCACCAGGGAAACGATTCATTGAGCTGGGCCTGGGCCACGTAAGTCCCTGGGGTGGAGTTGCACAGTCAGTGATGGAGAAGCTCCCAGGACCCTCCCCCCGCCCACTTAACGCTCTCGTAAAATGGGGACATTGAGGCCTGGAGTAGGAAAGGGTCTCTGGCCCAGCAAGCAGGAACGGACCCAGACTGTCTGCAGTCAGCTCTGGCTGCACGTCCTCTGACGTGTGTGTGGGGCACGTGGTGAATGCAGCTCCTCGGTGTTCTCCCCAAAGACCAAGGGTGAGCCTTTAGGAAAAAAGGAACGCTCTTTCCCCAGTGTTCAGGGGCAAGGTGAGCTGCACCTGCCACCCCTGACCATCCGTGGGCCAACTGGTCCCCACGCCGTGACCCAGGCCTCTGGCAGGAAAGGCAGTCCCTGTTCACCCTCTTCACCTGGGCCCTGCACCCAGCAGCTCTCTGGAAGATAGGCATTGAGGTTCCTATTGTACACCAGGAAACTGAGGCCCAAAGAAGCCAGTCGGTATGCAAAAGGCCAAACCCTTAGGCAGGAGTCAGCCTGAGGCCACCTAAGACATTCCTAGGCAGCAGGAGGTGGCCTTCCATTCTGATTTCCGGGTGGTGCGCAGCTCCCTCTCTGCACCTCTGGTCCCTTGTTCTCACTCCAGGCCCCCAGCACACCCCCCAGAGACAGTGATGAAGCACAAGGGGAAAGCCAGCCCCCCTCAGCCCAGCACAGGATGTTCTTGTATCACCAGGTCCCACCACACAGTGGCCGGTGGCCCAGCCAACATCTCAACACTGCTGCCCCTCTGGGCGGGCAAATGCTCTGGGCAGCCAGTCCTGAGGCAGGTGCCTCCCTTCCCCGCCCACACCTCAGACGCAGGCCAGGAAAGGACTGAGAAAACCCTTCTGGGCAGCTGGAGGGCCCAGCCAGCCCCCACCCCCGAGGTCAGGCGACTCCAAGCTGGACTGTCCACATGGTTGCTGTAAATACCACTGTGCAAAAATGCAACAAGCACAAAGCCACAAAACAAAAACCCAGATAGCAAAACTGGAGAGGAATGTGGGGCCCTCCCTCTCAGAAGGCGTCTCGTTTTAATAGGAAGCTGTTGTATTGTTCTCCTGTGGGTGTCACTACAGACCTGTTCTGACGAAGTCCGCAGGAGTGGGGCATCTTGTGACACATTTGGCTTCAAACTGAGATGTTAGCGCCATGGGTTGTTGTTTTTTTTTTTAATCCAATTAATTTTCAAATCCTTACCAACTGTGACTCTGAATTTAGCACAAGAGAAAGCTGAGAACGTGGGTCTTGCCTCCTTCCAGAAATATGTCTGGCTCATCAGGACTTCTTTTTAAACTTCAAAATATTTTTAAGATATTTTGAACTTTTTTAAACATAAAAATCAACCAACAAGAGACTCTTCTGAGGAGGAACATTTGTATTCGAATAAGATCCTTGGTGTGTAATTCAGTCTTGCAATATACAAGCTTTTGTGTTAAATGTTTATGATATGATTCCCTGTATTTTGCAGGGTTTTTCCTTTCCTTTTTTTGCTTTGTAGATAAATATGTATATCAATATTTTAAATTCATCTTTGCTTTTTTTTAGAGGAGTTTGTAATCACCTTATAACATGAAAATAAACATTTCCTTTTCAAATCCAACATGTGTGGGTTCTATTTTGATGAGGGTGCTTTTTCTTATATTTGGCAAGTGCTTTACAGTTCATAAGGGGCTTTCAGCCCCACCCAGGATGCTCCTCCAAGGTATTACCGGCCGGAGACACTGAGGCAGAGGCTTCCAGGTGGGATGTGGTTTGCACAAGGGCACACAAGTCTGTGAAAGTCGATTTGCACCCAAGTCCACTGACTCAAAGGTCTGCGCTGGCTGCTTCTCCTGGTCCAACGGAATGAAAATCACCTGCGAGACCCACAGCCCCATGCAGCTGGGAGATCTCAGAGTCTCCTAGCCTCCGTTTCCCCACCTGGAATAAACCACAGCCCCCTTTAAGTGTTCAGGAATGATCAGAGGTGATGCCCATGCATCAGGCCCTCACCTGCACTGGCTTCCTTCTTTCCTAGCCCAGGTTCTCCTACTGTAAGCCTAGGAAGAGGGTGTAGGGAGGGGGGCACCAACCTGCGGTCGGTGCCCTTCCCCCGCCCTCTCAGCCTCCCTGCAGGTGTGGTCCCTGAAGCCTGATCCCATGCCATCCCCTCAGGGCTCCAATAGCCAAGTCCAAGAGTGGGGCGGGGGCGGGGGGCTGCTGCTGGAAGATGAGTAAGTGGCAAGTCCCGGAGGTATGCACATGGGGACCTCAGAGGGGAGGACACCCTGAAGGTCAGTGGTTGGCACAGATGTCCTCAGCCTTAGGGATCATAAGCCCAACACACTGTTCTAGGTGAGGAAACAAGCGAGGAGAGGGTTGCTGTTGGGGGCAGCCTTCCCGCCCACTGGCCCCATCACCCTTTACAAGTGGGCAAGGTCGGGAGCCTGCTGGGTCTTTTCCCCAACTTCCCAGACCAAAGGAATCTTTCTCAGTATTTCATTACTTACAGACAATGTTAGAATAAGACCTCCGTCCCTCTTTTTCTATCTTCCTTTCCGTTGGCCTCTGTCCACCTTCCTCCCACCCTCTCTGTTTTTTGGCCACAGGGCTTGTGTTCAAATCCTGGCCCCATCCCTACTACCTGTGTGACCTTGGACAAGTTACTTAACCTCTCTTCGCCTCATTTCCTCATCTGCAATGTTGGAATGGTGACAGAGCCACCTCTGGAAGCTGTTGGGAGGATCCAGGGAATTCTCGCCAAGCTCTTAGCACAGTGTCTGGTGCGCAGGCAGCCGTAGGACTGGCGCTGCCTCTCTCGGAGGACCGGCGGTGCCCTGTGCGACACTGTCGCCCCCAATTTTGTTTTTTAAAGATTTATTTATTTACAGATAGAGGGGAAGGGAGGACGAGAGGGAGAGAAACATCAATGTGTGGTTGCCTCTCACCTGCCCCCTAGTGGGGACCTGGCCCCCATTTCAGGCACGTCCCCTGACTGGGAATCAAACTGGTGCCCCTCTGGTTTGCAGGCCGGCACTCAGCCCACTGAGCCACACCAGCCAGGGCATAGTCCCTAGTTTTCTTAGCCCATCCACATAAATGCGATTGGTGTGGTCCAGCCCCCGCTTACACCCCTCCTGAGATGGGGAGCTCACTCCCTCTGGCATAGCTAACAGGAAGAAGCTCTTCTGTCCACACAGAGCTGTGGCTCCTCAGTGGGACCCAGCCCTGTCCCCTGGTCTCACCCTACCCAGGACACCACCCTCAGGCTGCCCTCCTGGCCCCTTCCTTACCCAGGCAGCCAGCCTGCCCCTCTCCTGCCTCAATGGCTTTCCGCTGCACAGAGAATAAAATCCATAGTCCCTACCCAAGCCTTCATGACTGGGCTCCACAAACCTCAGTCTCTAGCCCCACCCTTTTCCGCGTCTCCTCTCTCTCCTTGAACTCACCAAGGGAGAGCTCAGGGCCTCTGCACTTGCTGTGCTCTCTTCCTGGGACATGTTTCCCTCCGTGTCTCCACAGGGCTGACTCTTGTCCTTCAGGTCTTAGCACAAAAGTTACCTCTCCAGAAAAGCCCTTCCTGACGCCCTGAGCTAAAGGTCCCCTGTGCCCTAGTCACGAAACCCATTACTGTTTTGTTGTTTTCATTGCTCTTTATTCCTTCTGAAAGAATTCTTTATGATTTTTTTCCACTTGGCAGTGGTCTGTCTTTCCCTAGAGCATAAAAGTGCCGTGCAGACAGGACCCCATCTGTCTTGTTCCTGATGTTTTCCCAGGGGCCAGAATGATGCGTGTTCACAGAAGACTTTTTGAACAGATGAGTTAATGGATTAATCAAATGCAGGTGAGATGTCACGAGATCCAAACAGAAGCTGACTCTTGCCAGCCTGTGATTTAAAAAGAAAGTAAACACCCTACTCTAGGTGCATTTAAATAACTTTATTAAAAAATCCAAATCAACCCAGCAGCATCCCACCCCCAACTCCCAAGTCACTGCAGCCCCTGGTGGGACAGGCAGGGTCACGCAGGGTCCCGGCGGGCCCCAAGTGGCCTTTGCAGTGCCGCCCCTTGGCTTGTGGTGCTTCCCGAGAGCCCTAAGAAACCCCGTGTAGAAAAATACTTTACAAGGAATATGCTCTCATCTCAGCCAGAGAAAAATACAGCTTTTAGGGGTGGAAGGGGCATGTTGCAAGGGGTGTACCCAAAATGCATAGGCAGGCAGGACGCTCACCGGGGACGGGTGTCAGGAAACGTCAAGTCTGGGATGCACGATCCCATGAGAAGCCAGAAGAAATATTGCACATGAGGAGGCCGGCCACAGTGAGGAGGTCCAC